ATTATAAAAAACTAACACAATGTATAACTGTTACGTGCGAACTTCATCATTTCACATTTTGTAAAAAACATGTGATCTCGAAAATTGGTGTGTCAGATAAGAGGCAAAAATCCATTGACAGTAACCAGTAATGATAACCGGTTCGCTTATCTTCTAAAATTCTTCGATACGGTTCTATAGAACCGGTGCGAACCGGCTGAATCTCACCACTGTTTATAACCCTGCTTAATATAATTTTTATATCTAGTTTGCACTAGCACTTCAATAATATTGAACTGTAGTGTTTAATTCAGTGTTTCTCATCCATTTTTTACCGCAGACCATTTTTGAAGCAAAATGAATGGTGGTGGAATCAAGATACGAAAATTAAATAAACATGATTCACCTAGATTGTTTATTTATTAGGACAACTAAAAATACCATTAATAATGCTTGATAACATGAAATTCTTCCACCAATTCGTCAAAATTGGGGTCCATGGAAGTCAAAGTTCATCTAATGTCCTCTTCAGGTTGTAGAGTAAACCCAAGCGCCAATTACTTGTGTACGTAATATGTGAATGCTTGCTTTCGTCTTGCCATTCATGTGGGGAAAATAATTTTAAACTACGAAAAGTATGTTGTCACGAAACAGATCGAGGTTTTGCATAAATAAAATGGTTAATTTTTTAGAAATATAATTGCTTTAGGTTGTAATATCGTTTCTCTGCATAAAAATGCTCATGTAGTCGATATGTATGCAGACTCATCAGGGTACTTCGTAGTCGCCTATGAGTCTGCGGTGTAGGGTTGAGAAACACTGATTTAGATGGCAGCAAATAAAACTGCACATCATCATGATTATATAATTACCTTTTTCTTTTCATGTTATGTAAAACATTCAGGCTTCTATTTTTTTTTAACCACTGATTTTTGCTTCGGGCCACACATATCCTGATTACACTAATGATAACTATAGGTGCAATCTTACCTGGTGCCAACTATATTACCTCGCATGTTTGAGCAAATTCTTTCATATACTTTGAGATTTTCTCACAATTTAGGATTTTGATAGTTAAAGAAAAGAGTAAAAATAAAGTACAGACAATCTATAGCGATTTTTATAAATTTCCAAGACCTCTAGTTTTTCATGTAATTAACTATGTATTTATTACTCACAAATTTCATTAAAGAATATGTTTTATGAAACATCATTCAATTTCTGTATTTAAATATATCATATCAATTTAGTTACACGAAAGCATGATATTTCTGTAATGCTATTTTGTTTGGTTTTCATTATTATATATATTTGTATCTTTCACTAATTGACAGTTTTATTTTATATCAGAATATTTTATGTTATGCTAATTATATGTAGGCACATATCTTCAACATTTATAAAAAAATCTGCTTCATTTCTATATTCATGTGACAAATGTTCAAAATTTGGATTTCCAAAGTTTTCTTGTTATCAAAGACTAACAGCAACAAAGAAAATGAATTTTGAAGAAATGAAGGTAGGAATTGATAATCTGATTGCAACTTGTTCAACAAGTTTCGAATGTGGGAACAGTTACTGCATCGTGTAAAACGTTAGGAGTGCCAAGTGCCACTACCGATAGTTAGTTTGTTTGGAATTCCATGGGATATTATTAGTGAGATATCTAAGCTGCTTCAGCCTAGGGTATTATCTTTACTTTTTTGAAAATCAGATGTTTTCTACTTGAGAAATGTTTAAAAAAACCTTTTGAGTTGTTATTTTCACTCATTAGCTTACCACAACCAACAAGTCTCAAATTCACTTTTTCTCTAAATGGTAGTCTTTTGATGCTTACATTCGCAAATTAGTTAGATTTTCACTAAATGCCTTCTGAGCCAATTGGCGTTCAAACCATTCAATTAGACAAAGCCTATTCTAAATTTATCACAAAATTTCAATTCATAATTATGTCTCTTTGATATGATTTTATAAAAACAATTTTAGCCAGCATCATTAGATTTGAATTTAACTTTATTTCTTTAGGCCTATACTTTCCTTTTTGTATTCTCTCATCCTGACTTCATTTATGTACATTCTCATTAAGGTTATTGAATTGAGGCAATATCTGGACAGTAAAGGGTTACCGAAATATGGAAACAAGCACATTCTGATAGAAAGAGCAAAGACTTATGCAACTCATATTGTCAAAAAAGATCAAGAATGTATGTATTGCAGAACTGCAATCACACAACATGTGCTGGATTTTTAATTTTATAGCAACCTAGTTTACTGCAGTGTTTATGTGAATGCCATCTTAAGCCAGGATTGCTCAACTGTATTTAATCCCAATCAGTTACTTGACTGCAATGTACATTATGAATTACCGAATTGAATTTTCAATTAAATTATTCAATTTTTTTTTGAAAAAGCAACGCAACATGGTCGTTTCGTTTGTCTTGAACATGTTTTTAATTTTCTTATTTTTAAAAACACTGATCTCTTTCTTGGCTGAGTTAAAAGAATGTTAATAACAATTAATTAGATATGGGCAAAATACTTACGGTAATTATTGTAGCCTGAAGTGTTTTTCAAAAAAACAATCAAAAATAGTGAAAACAACAAATTTAAAATTTTGCTTAACAAAAACATTTTGAAAACAAAGATTGACTAGTACACTAGTGCATTTTCTTGTTTGATAACATCAAAGAAATATGGGAATTTGATACCATTCTTCTTGATGTGATGAGCAATTCGGTTTTAAGATTGAGATGGTATATCAAACACAACTCGATGGGTTGTGTAGGCTTCTAGCTTGCTGCTACCGTAGTTACATTTTCCAACAATTATTATGACAATAGTACAAACTGCTTTTTTTTTTACCTACTCAGTCATTTATCAGGTAAGCTGGCTCGTCTTAGTGTCATCATAATTCACTTAAAATATTAGGAAGTCAGTGTGAATATATTCAACAATCAGTTATTGCATTATGAATAAATAAATTTTTTATTTAATCTTATAATTCGAAAAATGTTTTGAACGAATTCGAAACTAAAGCAATAATTTGTTGGTAATAATCTAAAATCAGATGCGAAAATTTGAGTTGAGTTTGGATCTCCTTTATTGCAAATTTGATATGCTTGGCTTGTATTCACACTGGCTCCTATTATTTTAGCTAGCAATGATGACGCTGAGTCCAAAAAGTCTGTCTTAGTCAGTAGCTCTGAAACTGTTGAGCAACCCACAATTGGGTTCGAAATTACTCCTAAATTGGAATCGGCATCAGAGCCCGAGCTAGTACTCGAAGAATCTCCACAAGAAATTAAACCGGAACAGGTGAATAATGACCAGAATGTTGATGAAACTGAAGAAAAAAATGATGACAGTGAAGATATTGATATAAAAGTTGAAACTGAGGCTACTTCTATTGGTGATGTTACTGAGTCTGCTGGATGTGCTGGTTAGAAAAGTATTTTTCTTTTCAAATCCAGTTTTGTAATATCGTGGCCGTGGTAGCCTAGTGGCTAGCGTGTTGTGATCAATTTTGTTGGTGGTACATGTTAAAGATCTGGGTTCATATCATTATGCGCATCACCTAACCCGGGATGTAATAAATTAGGCTGGCTATATAAAAAAACTGGAAACATTCCATTCCGATTTTATATACCTTGTATGTATATATCAGGGGTGGCCAACACGTCAATCACGATTTTAGTCTGGACAAGTCTGATATGGCATATTATTACGTAATAAATGCAAGTTTCGCCGCTGCCAAGGTTTAGGAATGGATGTACACGTGCCGAATATTGCGTGTCTTGGCTCCGAGTACAATTACATAATCAAATTAAATGGAACATAAAAAATACTAATTTTTGTGGCGATTTCATTAAGAATGCGGCCACAGAGCGGAACTTATTGGCGGCGGAAGAATTTTTGTATGCGTGATTGAAGTTATCTGCATATTTCAATAGGCCTACTCATTCATTTTTTGTATGACTGCATTACCTATCAGTCGATCGTGCTATTTTGAAATTAGTTGATCGCAGTCGAACGCAGGTTGGCCACCCCTGGTATATATTATTGTCTGTTCAGTCGATTGTGCTATTTTGAAATTAGTTTCTCGCAGTCGGAAGCAGGTTGGCCACCCCTGGTATATATTATTGTCTGTTTACGTATTGCCTGTTTGGTAGTATTTAACAAAGCTGTTAAACAAAGAATATTTAAAATTGAATTAATATGACTGTTTGTTTTCATTTTTTGATATTTGAAGATATGGAGGAAACAGTGCAACCTTTGCGAAAAAGGAAGATGAGAAAACCATTGCCGTTCTATGGCAAAAGGCCAAAACCTAATTCTCAACCCAAAAATGCTCTCATGATAATCAATGAAACTTTTCCTGGTTTGTTATTTTGATTTTTCTCCAATCCATTTTAGAATGAGATTTTTTGTTCGGATGAGAGAAAAGACGGACCATGGTTGCTAGTCCGAGTCATTATTTAAACTTTGTAGTAGTCTCATCAAGTATTTTGTGCCCCCTCGTAAATGGCTATGAGTCAATATTTTCTGTTTTTTTTTATTTCCTATTGTATTATATTTCTTTGTTAAATCTTATTAAATCTTACATCATGGAAATAAATATCTGACCTGATCCGTAGAGAAAGCTGCCATTGACAGTTATGGGAACTAACAAATCTTTTCACTCATAATACATCCCATGATATTCAAAGCCAGTGAACATAAATAAAATATTCTGAAATTCATGATGGTAAAAATCAAAACTATCTTACTTTTATTTGTTCCACTCAGGATTAAAATTTGAAATAACCAGCTGTGGCAATGTGAACACACCATCATTCGAAGCATCGGTGGAAGTACAGGGACAAACTTTTGTTGGAGAAGAACGATCGAAAAAACTTGCGAAGCATGTTTGTGCCGGAATTATTTTGAAGTACGTATGTAGTCTTTTTCTTGCAATATAAAGTTTGAACGAAAGCCTCTCGGGTAGGATAGGAGTTTCATATTTATTCTGAAGGAAAAGAAAGCCGATAATATGAGTTAATCATGTGGCACTCTACTCGCCTGGTTACCAGTCCATGTCCATCATGGAAATAGTTGAATATTTTTTTTGGATGCATGGACTTGATAGTTGAGAAAGCCATAAGCAACCAACAGCTATGTGACCACCCTATTACATCAGCAAGCCTCTTGTTCATAATTATCCCACATCAAAATTAAACCTGAGATCTTGTGCAGGGTAATCAGGAGTGTAATGGAAAGCATATTACGTGTCAGCCGCTTGGTCGTATTATTGTTTGTTTGCATGCGCTGTATATTTTATGAATAGTCGCTATTATTGGTTGTTTTGTAAAAGTTTATTCTAGTATGAGATTTGTGTCTTAAATATAAAACACAGATATTTATATCAATACAGAGAATTGATGCCAGGTATGATGGGACCACCAGTCCATCCTTTCGCTATTCCTCACATTCCCTCACAGTTTGATTTTACTTCTGATGACTTAGGATGGGATGATCCAGATATTTTCAGTGATTATGTACAGGTAAATGTTCTTCCATTATGATGGATATCAGAGCCTAGAATGGGAAACCTAAGTCAAGATACTATTAGTGGTCTGAGGGATGTCTATGTATTAGCCATTGTTGCACAGGTTTTTGTTAAAATGTTTCAATAAAATCTGTTATTCATCTATATATTCATTATAATATTTCAATTATATTGTTTTAAACAATGGTTTCCTTACGTAATTGGGTTAATTTATGTAATTGGGTTAAAGACAATGAACGAGTCCTTGTTTAATCTTGTCAAACACTTGCTGACTACTGGACGCTCCAGAAGTATGTATACCAAGTGGAGGTGACTAATTTTGTTCGCCTACTTTACATCAAATTGTGTAAAGGGACTGAAGCCTATGGGCAGGGGGATATCCACTTGTGTAACACAGACAGCCTCGGAACTCGTAATAGTACTAAAATAAGGTAAACTGGAATAAAATTATGACTTAACCTGATACACATACTACGAAAGTACCGACGATTTTATGACGATTAATAAATAAATATTTAGATGCCATCATCTGTTGTTCCGCATCTCATTGCTCCAATGACAAGTTATGTTCCAGTGCTTCCTCCTCCACTGAATACTGTTGGATCAAAACAAACTACTCCTACACCTGAAGGCAATGCATTGTCAAATTTGTTTCTGATCATTTTAAGTTTCTTCAATAATTTCAAATATGATTATACTTGATTAAAAATCAGACCAATTAACAAGTTTTGGTTCTGAACTTTTCTGAAACTGTATAATACAACTCACACAATTTCGATTTTCATAGTGTTTACAAATTGTTTTTAGAGCGCAATTTTAATTGTTTGTTGTACTGCTGCATCAACTTGAAACACAATTTCTAGAAAATGTTTTCATTTATAAAATTATTTGCAATTCATTAGTTGAACCTAATTCAATATATCAAATGTAATGAAAAATTTTAAATTCATCATTCAACCTAGATAGAGAAACCTATATCGGATATTCAGTCATTTATATACAAAAACAAGCTCGCGTATCACATTGAATTAATGAGCATACATTATAAAACTCTTTCTTATCGTAATTTACCTTAAAAAAAAAGGGAAATTTTGTTTCCAAAGCTTGTCAGATGATCTGTATTACAGAAAGTAAAGATGTTTCGAGTTTGACAAGTTTTGGAACCTATGCCCTTCAACATACATCATCTTTTTCTACTTAGATATGCATCCTGTCATGGTACTCAATCAAAAACTACCGGGATTACAGTACGCTTTTGATCAAAGTTATGGTAAATCATTTAAGGCAACTATTGATATAGAAGGCAAAAGTTATTCAGGAGAGGGAAGAAGCAAGGTAATATTATCATTGGCACTGGGAGTTTTTCATGTTGTGATAACGTAAGCCCCCAGAATTGATAGTTTGTCAGAATTTGTGACTTCATGCATTTATCAATTAGTTTACTGGCATGACGATTGCCGCATCATGCAAAGTTAGAAGTTTTCTCCATCGCAGTTTCAATAGTTTCAATTACTACAATTACAATTATGTACGAAGATGATTGTTGAATCGTAGAGTGGTTCATGTAACCGCTGGCAGTTAATAGCTAATAACCGGTTAAATATCCCGAGCCTGACATGGGCTGGCAACCCATATGGTTAGGTTATCTATCATCTCACCCGGGTCAAGTATGAAACTTCTGTTGCGTTTTTAATGTTTCTTTGAGTCTATGGATTATTATGAATTAACAAAAATTTCAATAATTTGGAAGAAACCCCTTCAGGAACAAATGATAGGTTTTTATGTTAAACCCTCATAATGATTTATTTATTTTGGAATTAATCAAAATCATCAAGGTAACAATTGGGATCTAAGGATACTAAGCTATATCAGTTTGAATGTTATTATATTTGCCTTTAAATGATTCCTGCTTATTTTACAGAAATTAGCCAAGTTTTCTGTTGCACTCAAAGCATTAAAAGATCACTTTGGAATTGTGAGCAATAAAACTGTGGATCAACTTCCAATATTAAGCACTGATAGTTCAGATGAAACAGCTATTACTGATGCTGGGGTAGGTATCCCAACATTTTGAGTTTTGTGGATTGTAACATATTTTGTTTTAAATGTTTATATAAGTATTCTTTGGCAAGTCGATTCAATCAATCTTTCAATGATTGAAAAATTTTCATGATTTTTTGTTAAAATCTTTGAAAGTCTAGTACTCCTGTAGTGTGTGTACCAGGTTAGGGTTAGGCCATAATTTTATTCCGATTTTGCGACTTGGTGTAAAGTAGACAAACGAAATTAGGTACCTCCGTAGACCGTATTGGTACACACACTTCTGGAGCGCCGAAACCGGCATCAGGTTATTTTTCACTCTCAGATAGTAAAGTGGTGGTTTTGAACTTTTCTCAACTGTGGAATATTTTTTTATATCATAAACTATTCACGGAACACTCAATTGAAATTGAAATTCTTGTGGAAATGATAGATCGAAATTTTTGATACATGTCTCAATTCCTCTCTCAAAGGAAATAGTGAAAAGGCTAATAGCTTATTGACTAATAACCTAATTCAAATTGGGAGATAAGTTTTTTAATGCAGGCTCCAAAATTCTTAAATATGAATAAAAAATTATCTGAGACAGGCTACAAATACCGGTAGTTGGAAATAAGCGGAACGTTTTAATATGATATCTGAGCTTCCTTCCATGAGGACAAATTTTCTATTCTGATTCTGAGTGAGGTTGATATTTAATAATATTTAAGTGAAATAGTTTGTTCAACTAACAGGAATTGTAAGATATATGTGCGTAGTTGGTGTTACTGTATTTCTATATGTTGAATCCTGTATAAAATTCTTCTCATATAATCATGTACATACATATATATTCTATATTCATGTGATGTTTATGTGTTGTGTTGTGTATTATGTTCAGAAATTGCCTGATTTGATTTGTGAGCTGGTTAAACAAAAATTCGCCAACGTTACTGATGATTTAACGAAGAATGAAAATCATAAAGTTCTTGCAGGGATTGTTATGACAAGAGAAAATGGTGGGTTTACATTGTTGATCATTTCCCGGTACAGATTCTTCATTCGAATAGCTTGATTATCTAGCATTCGGGTTTCTAATCAATTTCTAATATTACAAATGGATTAATGATGCAATGATCTTGCTCTGCAAATAACGTTGTGGTGTTTAGGTTAATATCAACTAGAATAACATTATGTTAGAACCCAGGAGGTTCTTTACATCTCATGTTTGTCTTGTGCATTGCCATTTTTTTACCTTGGTGGAAATCAAAATAAATTATCTCGTCTTACATCACTGCAAAAAATGGCAAATTCGACAGAAAAACAGGGATTTCGATTTGATTTCATAAAATGTTGGAAGTAATAATTCCCGATTTACTCTAACTAGATTCTGGACATAACCTGTTTTTCATAATGTTGAAATGGAAAAAATTTTGCTCCAGAAGTATGCGCACCAAGATGTCGTACAACCTGAATCCTAACCGGTACACACATACCATTTTCAGGTTGTGCGCCATTTTGGTGCGCATACTTCTGGAGGTCCAAATTTGGTTTCATATTTCTATGCATACCGTAATGCTAATAATTCTATATTAGCTCTGTATCGTTATTCATGTAATTGGAAGTTGTTTTGACATCTATGAACTTAAGATTCCTATATTAACTCCCTAGTTGTAAGAGTTGAAGATACTGCGTACAACTGGTTTGGCATCATTATTATTTTTTCATTGTAAATTGATGATACTATGTTATCCTATTGTTTTTAAATCATTAAATTCATTTTCTCCTCGGAAATTCAAACTTTAAATCCTTTTATACTTTGTTGGTATCTCATTGTAATATGCATCAAAACAACGATGTCACACATTGATCACTTTGCATGGGTGCAGTTATTAACTCAATATGGGAGGATAGTTGTTTATTTCTAGAATGATTGCATGACTTTCTATGGTAGCAAGGTGGTGTGCAAGCGCCGTTTTGTTACGGTATCCTACACAAGCTAACTCCAGCATCTTAAATAAGGAAATAGCTAGCTTCCCCAAGCCCCACCTAGATTGATGTCTGGATGAGAGTTTGTGCTTTATTTTCCCCTGGAAATGTAAATATTTTATTCTAAACTTCAGGCCCGGATGTAGAAAAGGGTGAAGTGATTACAGTTGCAACTGGTACCAAGTGTATTGATGGAGGACATTTATCTACAATGGTAATTATTGTTTGTTTGAATTCAAATAATAAAAAATGTCTGTCATGTGTTTTAAATTGAAGTTAATTGTATTATTATTGCTTTGAATTTTTATTGCATCATTGATACTGACTGAAAGTATGCCGTTTCTTTGTGAAAAATTTGCCGAATTGCTGCGAAAATGTGTCAATTCAGAATATTCATGAATTCTGAACTATTCGAAAATATTTTTCCTTGGTCATAACAAGGCCTGGGCGTTTGGAATCAAATGGTAAATTATTCGAATCAATTTGGAAAAAAATTTCGAATCACTGTTGACCACTAAAGTCAAGGTGTTGAGACGACTTCTGGTTGTAGTTGCTAATTAGGCTAATTAAACTAGATAGATATTAATCTGACTCCAAACAGAATATAATCGGTTGTTACTTGTTCAAGTCGAGACGTCTGTTAATTTGATATAACAGCAAGGATCTAGACAATTGCCTGTATAGATTTTATTTCCTTCGATAAATATATTACAATAAATTAAATCAAATAAACCAACTTACAATTTCAAGTTATTATTCATAACAGTAGCGTAGCGATCATCAGAATTATTGATATTTGACGATAAGGACGACGATCTCTTGTATGTTTGAGATCTCATTTTAAAGGCGTACACAATTTTCTCGATTATTCGAGACCGTTCTTACACTGATTATTCATGTAAAACAAGGTCGTTTAACATATCACATGGGAAATTATTCGCTATTTTGCACGTTATATTGAAATGTCATATTTAGAATGTTCTTGAATAGTCTCCAATATTTATGACTTAGGAATTATTTTTAGTCTTGATGTCATTATTTCCAAAATTATTGGTTAATTTGTTACAGTGTATCATCCCTCAATGTTTCTTATTGAGTTTGACACTATGTCCTTCTGTAATAGATTCTATGGTTTCAGTAATTTAGTGCCTGGAGGACCACTTACAATAAAAAAATCATACAAAAATATATATTTCAAATATTCAAAACTCAATTTGATTAAAAAAATATTTTATTTGATTCTAAAATGATATAGTATTCAAAAATGACCAGCCCTAGTCAACTCAAATCTGAATAAAAATAGTATTCCTGAAATTTTATCTGCATTCTACTAGGTTCCAACATAGTTGTATCGTCATTCGTCATCAATGATATCATCTATAAAAGCAAATTATATCTTGTTTAGGAATTTCATTTGAGTTTTAGAAAATAAAATGTACTCTACCTCGGTATAGGCGTTCATAATTATGTAAATAATTTCAGGGAACTGCAATGAACGATTGTCATGCTGAAATAGTTTGCAGACGAGGATTGAGAAGGTTTCTCTATGATCAGCTATTGTTATATTCAAGGTACATATTTAAGATCTGATTCTGAAGTACTGTTTTTTTAAATTATTGTTAAATTTTATTTATTTTTATAGTGACAAAGTGAAAACTATATTCGAAGCTTGTGAAAACAATGTTGGGTATCGTCTGAAATCTGATGTTTATTTTCATTTATACATTAACACATCACCATGTGGAGATTCAAGGATATTCTCACCCCACGAGACTAAGAGTAAGATCAAAAATATTATTTGGATATGTGACACGTGCCATATTTTTCTTAGTAGCCTAAATGCTGAATTATTTTGTTGTTTTCAAGTGGTGTTATCAGTTTGCCTCAATCTCAATTCCAATTTGGCCTTTCTTATGCTAAAATTTTTTAAACTATCTGGTTGCTATATAGACTGTAGAACACTAACAAGGCAAAAAAGATATAAGCGTGTCTATTGATACAATAAACCCAATGGAACTGATTAGGATAAAGTTTTAATCAGCACATATTATTTAGTTTAGGTAACACTCTTCGCAATATTATGTTCCTTTGACATAATTACAAAATATTTGAATTTTACTAAATATATCATGTTATCTTATTGAATTAGGTTCACCTTTTGTTACAGTACCAGTGATGTGCAGTAGGAAACTTTTTCTACATTTTTAGATTTCCCCTAGTTTAGCTTATATTGATGCGATTCACTCCACGATTGCATTTTTTAATTTTTTCATACTTTTCCTGTATTACACCATGAAACTGTACTTTACAGAACACGAGGATGATCATCCGAATCGTATATCTAGAGGTCAATTGAGAACAAAAATTGAAGCAGGTGAAGGAACGATACCTGTCGTGCAAAAATCTGGTATTGTTGCTGATGGCAACCAACCATGGGATTCAATTATTGGTGGAGAAAGATTATTGACCATGTCCTGTAGTGATAAATTGGCAAGGTATTTTGAATACTTTTATACCGTTGTATTAGCATGATCATGTATGTTGAATACAAATAATTCAATTCTGTTTTCAGTACTCAAACTTGAAAGAAATCGCTAGGCTATTTCGTTTATTAGTCCGACGTACCTAATATTTCGCCTCTAATTTTGCTAGTTTTTATAATTCACGGGTACATCTTTATATGACATTTATGTTTTAACATTTCATATGATATTCTTTTAACGTTTCATATACAAGAACCGAAGTACATTATGCATGCGAGAATGACATTGAGCTGCTTCAGGTATTAATGAGATAAATTTTTTAACTTTCGCTGTAAACACGGCTACAAGTAGTACTGGTGTGGGGAGAAGGTGGGGTTCTAAATAATTTGATCGCTTCCTCCAACCCTAGTAAGCAAATTACCTATAAAATCATATTTTCAGATTCTATATTCTGGTCGTCTGTGAAATTTAATACAATTCCCATGTTATATTATTAATTAATAATTATAGCTTTAAAATCCGATCTTTTTTATCACAGATGGAATGTACTCGGACTCCAAGGATCATTGCTTAGTTTATATATTGAGCCTGTATATCTATCGAGTATTATTCTCGGATCTCTTTATCATGGAATTCATTTGTCTCGTGGACTTCATGGAAGAGTTAAGGAAGCCATTGCAGCTTTCGCACAATCTCAAAATAACAGTGAAAATGTTGTCAACGGAGAAACAACAGTGGATACTAATAAACAGATTATAAAAGAACCATACAAAATACACCGGCCGGTATTGGCACCAATTACCAATCCAGGTAGCAGAATAATAAATCATAGGAATCCATATCATGTACAAAATCATATTTAGATATATGTTGGCATCAAAGGCTGCAAGTCCCATGCACCCACATTGTGTGAAATATATATAAAACGTTATTTTTAAAAATTTTCAATATATAGGCCTACATATACATTATTTTGAATAATATTTTAATTCTGAACTAAAACATTCTATTTTCACTGTCTGAGTGACAAAATTGTATTCTGTAGGATTTTCTTTGGTAAACTTAAGATAAAAATATCCGAACTCTAATTTTAAAATTTGTTGGAATTAATTATTTTGGATAGTCCACGTATTACAGTGGTTGATTAACTTTGTCCAAACGCTTCATGTAGTACCAACAGCATTGCAATATGGATCATGTTTTCAGTATTAATATCTCAAGACAATAAGATAACTTCAGTTCATTTTGTCGTACACAATGCAATTCAATATTCCAAATTCTGATTCTACACAACGCTGGAATCAGAATTTTCCAATTCATTCATGGCAAAATATAACTCTATCTGTACATTGTAATATCAACTAGTTTATGAATAAGGTTATTATTTATGTCACAGTCGGAAGAAACACTGGCAAAGCACCTGGTTTTTGTCTTCACTGGACTTTGGGAGATGAAAATCCAACCATTGTCAATACAGTCACAGGTAATAGTTAAAGTAATCATTTCTTATTCAACTTTTGCCGGCATGTATGAATAGCTAAACTGAGAAAATTGTTTCATCCATTTACAGGAAAACTACAAGATAATGACGAGGCTTCGTCGAATTTATGTAAAATGGAAATGTATCGAATGTTTCGCAAACTGACAAATATCCAAGGACTTGAACCAAAAGTTAATATTCCTCTAAATTGCAAAACTACACAATATGGTGAAATGAAGAAACTAGCCACAGAGTATCAAGTAAATACAACAGGACTTTATAATTCATCAAGCATTCTTTTGTTTATCCTATTTAATATTCACTTTCATATTCATATTCAAGAGATTCATGTTAATATTCTTTTAGTCATCTTCTGCCATTTTTATCTTAAGATTTGTTGCAGGAGTGAATCATATCTTACAAATGTACTATTTAAAATGAAATCTGTCATATTATCTTTGTTTGATTGGCTGCAAGTGATCACTTCTAAACGATCTGCATTTGTAATTTTTTCACGTTCGTATGAATACTGAACACAAAAAGCAATATACTCAAATACTATCTATAGTTATTTACATTTCAGGAGTTGAAAACCAACCTTCATGCTGGATTCAGGGCAGCTGGTCTTGGAACTTGGGTGAAAAAACCTGAAGAGGTCGATTTGTTCACGATCAATTCTGAATTTTAATAAAAATGTGTCTTCAAAAAGTTTAAGTCTTAAAAAATGATTAGTGCAAAAGCATTTATTTTGTATATTGTATTGTTGGTATGTTTCTATTGTTAAAACATTTCATATTCGATCATAAATATTCCATATACATATTTTTTTTCACTGCGAAAAAAAAAGAAAAAAAAATGCTTACCCTCCATTTTCTGATGCCATTGATTAGACATCTACATAAGTTCCAGAGGTTTAATCTTTTCTTAAACCATTCAGATCTTTCTGATGGCCCATATTTTAGCATGTCCTTATGTTCATATAAAACAATTTGAATGATAACCTTCGCTGTTTTTATCTTGATGAAATCTTCAACTTTAATCAATGTGAAAGTTTTAAGAATACTAAATGGTTCTAATCAATGATTAATTTTTGTTTTAAATTACTTTTATTGTTTTTACTGCCACCGATTTTATCTTAACCTGTAACATGATTTTCGTTGAAGCTGCCATGTAGTGAAGATGCTTAATACATTTCTTATGAAAAATTAATTTGTCAAATATGAATACGACTAGCAGAATAATTATAGTTTGTTGGAATTTGCCCCCACTGATGGACTCAGAAAATCTTGCTATAAATATCGCGATTCCTCTTTTGATTAATGGATGCTCCCGTAGTATGTGAACCACGATGGCGGACATAAGAACGTAGTATGTGTACCAGGTTAGGGTTAGACCAAAAATCTCAGGTACAAATACTACAGGAGTCACTTGGCTAGTCCCCGAAGTCGTGAAAGAACTAAAATAAGGAAAATCTGGAGAAAATTATGGCCCAACCTGGTACACATACTACGTTCCGGTGTCCACCATCTTGGTTCGCATACTACAGTCCTGATTAATGTATAGAAATACGTACTGTGAGTAGTATAAGTTTATTCAGATTCCATCTAGTCAGCAAGGTAATTGATAATAACTGAGAACTGTGATTAGAGAATCGGATGGTCCGGTTGCTGCGATATTACAAAAGATTTCATTAACGATTTATCAAGACTGACTAGAAACGCAATCGTACCATATAAATTGTCCAATAAGATTGCTCTTGTCAAAATCGCTGGAAAACGGAAAAAAGTACAGATATGATTGGTCGAAAATTAGTCTTCCGCTTGCAAAATCTTCGCCAGCGACGAATTGTCTCTTCAATTAGCTTATTTTATAAGTAAGCTTGCGCCTAGTTTTTATCCTTGTTCTTATCCCATGTCTCGTGTTGAGCAGTGCCCGCTGATAACTCTATTGCTGGGATGCGATAGCGCCCTTTGGCGCGTCAGTAATAGCTCTCTTTTATTATTATATTTCCAAGGGGAAATGAGTCTTGCTGTAAGAAAACTTGTATAATGAGGTTTGTCGTTTGTTCAATTTTCGTTTGAATTTGTCGGTATTGCCTAAGGCTAAGCCCTTACTAAGTCATGACAAGGTTTGTCTATTCTCTCAGTTAAACTGTAAAGATTAAAGGCATGAACATCGGAAGGATTTTTTCAAATCTGGGCATCTCTTGATGATGCCGACATTGTCCATCCCAGAATTCAAATGTATGTATGTTTATTCGTCTCGTAATAGTGATAAAAAAATAAATGAACGATTATTATTATTTAAGACGGGATACATGCACAAGACCGTACTGGCCTAAAACACAAATGTGCGGCATGCACCCTTTTTGACAAATATAAAACAAAAAACATTGGATTAAATATGTATAATATGGTCCCTTATATAGACAGTTGTGCAAATGGGTCATTTGGTGTGGTGAAAGTGGTAAGGGTGGAGTATACAAAACTGTTCATACAGGGGAGTTTATAAGACAAGACAATATATATGAATAGAGACAACACAACACCAAATAAACATATACATAACAATGAAATCAAAATTTAGGCGTAAATACAGCGCCTTTGAGTGGTGAGACCATATAGTATGAATGGGCGAAGTATAAGAGATAAATTTGCGGGTCTTATGCCTATATGGTATGCGTCACTCAAGAGCGCTAGTAAGGTCTTTGATAGAATATATCTATTTCAGCAAAAATGTGAACCATACGGATTCTGTTGAAATACTTCAGTTCGAGTGTCAAACTCTTAGGTATTCTTGTTTTATTTATAAAATTGAAGCCGAATGTGGTAAAAATTAAGGAAAAATAAACTTAAAAAAAAGCATTTCAACAAAGCTCGTCATGATTGCATTTTTTCCAGAAGAAAATAAATGTATAAAAGTACTATTTAATTGAGGCTAATATTGCATTGTTTCCATGTCATGGATTGCCCTAATTGTATTAGGATCACAATCGAGTAATATAGTTTCATGGGGGGGAAGGAAGGGAGGAATATATTTGATTTTGTGCTATGATCTATGTGAGAAAGAAAGGGCCCAGCATGCCACTTTGACAACAAGAACTGTTTCTATTGATGGCTGGATTCAAATTTGATGTAATTGTAAGTTATTATCTTTAACCTAATTTGCTGGTTTTATTGTCTTTGTCTAATTAAGCATGATAATAAGATTAGAAGAGTGAGTTAAAATATTAATTCAGTTCATTGTTTCATATTGCATCCTGCTGAGGTAGCCTGCGGAGTTTGAAGTCGCCATCTACTGAGTGGTGATCTGATATCCCTCTGAGTTTCCTGTTGGTACTTTCAATCCAAATAGTCTATAGTAGCCCATCTTAGTAACCGAATTCCCTGGAAAAAATAAACTCCGAAACAGTAATATGTTCAAAACAAAGATTTTGGTTAATATGATGATAACAAATGTTGCATAAGTTTGGAACGAAATTCTGAGTTTGATTTCGATTTTTTCAAGTCATTAGGTAGGGAATTCCAAGCTTTTGGTCCACATACTGCAATGGATTCGTGTGAGATACTTTTAGCAACAAATGGAATGAAAATTTTTTCCTTATTTCTGCTATTTGAATTTGGGTTTATTCGGAACAATCTATTCAGGCTGGATGGAAGTTGCCCGTTGTAGCTAGAGAACATCATGCTGCATAGTTCAAATTTAGCTAAATCCTCAACACGTAGCAGCTTATACTCTTTAAATAAGTCAACTTTTTCTCGATTCCCTCTATTGAAAACTTTTCTAATAAAACGGTTGCATACACTTTGAATTTTTTTGATAATGGACGTTTGGCGATGAACGTAAGTTAAAGCGCAATATCGAATATGGCTTTCTATTAGTGAGTGGTATGGAGATATAAAACAGGATGTATTTAGATTATTGGCTATTTTCGTAATAGCACCTAGAGATGACCTTGTTTTAGATAGAATCAGGTTTGTGTGCTGTTTCCAACACAATTTGTCATCAATTATTACACCCAAAAAGCGCGTCTGGTTAACCCTTTCTAAATTTATTCCATTCAATTCCAGATTTTGTTGTTGGCTTTGGCTTGGCTTTGGCTTTTGGCGTTGGCTTTTTGTTGTTTGCTTTGGCGCGCTAAATACCATATATTTATATTATTTAATTAATTAATTAAATTAATAGTGAGTTCGTTCGCAGACAACCAAGCTTGAATATTTCCCAAGTCAGTATTTGCTTTGGTCAAAAGTTCAGGCAAGTCTTTGCCTCGAAGATATGGCGTTGAGTCATCAGCAAAAAGTATGATATCAGAGTGATGAAGAGAATTTGGAAAGTCGTTAATAATGACTGAAAAACATAATGGAGTCAATATAGAACCTTGTAAGGTGCTTAGTCAAATTACAGTATGGGCTAGATGCTACGTCATTGTATATTACTACTTGTTTCCTTCCTGATAAGTAGCTTTTAAACCAATTATAACTCTGACCTCTAACACCAATATGGTGCAATTTGGCTAGTAATATGGCATGGTCAATACTATCAAATGCCTTGGAAAGGTCCAAGAACATACTAAGAGTATACTCGTTCTTTTCAAATCCTTCTAAAATTATACTGACAAGTAGAGATGTTTCACATTGAAATGTTGATGGTATAATTTAGCTTCTCGCCGTTACGAGGTCTGTTAGTGTGGCATACATCAGCAACCACAGGTGTATTGAAAATATGTACCCTACATGTCTCGAACTTCCCAGTTGCATGATTCTCACTCAGTATGACTATGAATGCTCTTATCTTCTGATAAAGTATTATATCTATCCTGACCCAGAATATGGCATGAATTCACTTCATATATTTACTTTAAACCATTTTTCTACAATGTATATATAGTGGTACACGTCGCCGTGAGGTCAAAGTCAAGAGGTCAAATTGGTTGGATGTTGTTATACCATGCAACACAATATTTTCGCGTTTCTCCGACCGCTTAGTTGACTTCCTCCCCCTCACCTGACACCTACACTAAAAAAACTTCTATTTTACATAGAAACAAACCAAATGCAGACACCGTAATCTATTAATAATAAATCAGAAAAGAAAAATTTTGCTTTTGTTCCAGTATATCCTTACCAAAAATAAAAGTTCCGGAAGGTATACAGAACATATTCTGTACGGCTGGGAGGCGCGAGAAATCCATTTATAATTGTACCACGAACTATACCCCTTTTACTTTACAGGAACATAGCGATTAGCTTCAATTTTTCGTCTTGTCACGTTGAATCGCTGCTCGTATTTATTCTATCACTCTCGGCTCCTCCAGTTCTAAATCACAACCGTGAAATAATAGAGATTTATCTAATATATTCCAGGACGTTAATGATTGCACTATATTCATTTATGTTAAATTCAAATAAAGTTAGGAAATATAAAAACAAACAAATACACGATAGTGTAATAAAGAAAGAGTATTGGAAGCGCAATTTGTAAACCATAATATTGGTAAAAATAAGTAGTGAAAACCTTCAGAAAATTGCTTTGTGACTTGTGAGCATGCTCGAGCTAAAATATGCGATGGTGTGGTGTTTACAGCAGTGCGTGTGGGGCATTAAAGCATAAAACCTGCCCAACTGCAAGTTCTGTCAGAATAACCGCTTACGGTATCGTACCTTGTCATGAGTCATATTGATGGTGCCACGCATCATCAAAAACTGATACCCACAACTTTATCAAAGCGACGGTTTACACCAAAAGATAATTCGGGATGGAATGAAATATCTGCAATTCGGTTTCTTTGGTACCGCTGGGATCCAGGCTTCAACATCTCAAAAGGAACCCAGCCATTTTTAGCTTCATGGGAATTGTTTAGATTGCAGACATGATGCTAAATAGCTGTTTCTAAAATAACCTGGGTTGAGGTGTTACTGGCACCACAATGAGTACAACAGTTAGGATGCTCCGCTGACGAGTCATGAAACTTCTGTCGTTCACCTCTTATCTCGGTATCTGACAGAGGTTTAAGAACGTCCACACCATCGAGAGTGACTCCAGGAAGTGTAGGCGACGCTTGCTGTCGGCGACTTGCACCGGGATTTGAATACAGTTTGGAAATAAAACTTTGCACCACATTTTCGTCTAGAGAATTTCTACGCGAACCATGAAGTAACTGTTGTTCAAGACCTTTCGCCCTCCCTCGGCAACCAAACCAAGACCCGATGAGAAATATTCCGAGAGCAAGCATGAAAACACCCATGGCCATAGGAGCTGCGCTAAGTTGTTGCAGTTTTTCTCGATCTTTGCCGTTGTTAGTGGTTGCACTGACTCCAATACATATGAACACTAAGCCCCCGAAAACCATTAAAGGAGCGAATCCACTCGATAGTTTTGAACATCGTCTTGCTCGTTCTGATTCCTGTTCTGTAATACACAAAATGAACGAAATATTACTTCGCAACTTAAATATAATTTGTATATATATATATGTGAAAAAATTTAAGTTTTACATCACTCCACAGGTTCTGTTTGATCAATTTTAGACAAGCGATTTTTATGTAGGAAGGTACTTTTGACCAGTTGACGTAGGTCGTAGTTAGGCTATTGTTCATACCATGAAGTTGGTGACAAAAAAATGTAAAAAACATAACATGTTTCAGCTGTTTTAACTTTTGCTGTCTTTTTTGGTTTCATTTAAGCAAGTTCGACAGGCCTCGAGTAACAAGAAAAAAAGACTATTCAAAAAGCTCGATTTCGATTTCAGATGCATTGTGGGCCAGTGGCGTAGCATCCACCCCCATTGGGGGGGTTCTGGAGCACAGCGAAAAGGGGCCCCAAGCGGTTAAAATTTAGAAATTTGAGCCGCAAACCAAACGCTGCATTGCAAAAGCAGTAATGCACATCTTATAATGTTGATGTTAGTTCTGCTCAAATCGTTTTGTTATGTAACAATACCGGAGTCGTCGATTTTCGGTGTCGTGTGGTTTGATCCCACCGGCCACCGGCACAATTACGAAGGTTGTCAGATTGATGTCGAAAGCAAAACCTCTTAGTGGCGCACAAAAACGAAGAATAAAGGGCAGAAGAGGAAGAACGTATGAAAAAAATTAAAGTAACCAGGATAAACGAAATATTTAAACCAAAATTGAAACAATTAGACTTGGGAATACCGAACGTAACTGAGGAGGAACTATGCTTAGCACCGGTGGTATCGGTAGAAAACCAGATGCGTGTTCAATCTCCAAAGGTGATGGCGCCGGCGCGACTGAATTTTCTTCCAATACTTACACGACAATTATCACAGGTAAGTTACTGATTTTTGAAGCAAATTGAAAAAAATGATATGACGAAGATGGTGGATGAGTTTGCTAACACGAAAGCGCAAATTTTAGGTTATCATAGCCTTTTTATAGCGACATGTTATGCTTTTTGACGAAATGAAAAAAAACTTTGTTTTAGCTTATGTCCGACAGTTTTTAGGGTCATTTCCACGAAATATTTTTGCGGGGGGCCCCACGAGAGTCTTGCTACGCCACTGTTGTGGGCTATAGATAAGTCCTATCTTCACGACATATTGGATAAACATTTATCTTGTCGAATTCACCTGGTATCCATGGCAAGAAATATATTATTCAAAAGCAACCCCTGAGTTTCGCAATTCCATTTATCGTCGTATATTCACGCCAATGGGCCGCAGACGTGACAAAATTTACAGATTTTATTATCTTTCTTTTGTGAAAAATTATCAGCTTGAAGTTTTCAATTATTAGGTATTTTATCCTTCTGCGAATATTTAAATATTTTGGTATGGCTTGGAGCATTTTTTTTAATATTGGGAAAAATCACGGTTAGGCGATCGATAAGACAAAGAGACAAAATTGATTATGACGTCATGCAAAAGCACCGAATGTACGTAACCACACTTTAGGCAGGAAGTTCAATATATCCGCTCTGCTTTACTGACTGGGATTATCAAAAGTTTGGGTACTCCCGTAGTATGTGTTTCCAGGTTAAAGTTAGGGCGTTAGGCCATAATTTTATTCCGATTTTAAATATTTTAGTTCTATTACAAGTTCGGGGACTGTCTGTGTAAGCCAAGTAAATATACCCCCTGCCCATAGTAATCAGTTCATGTACACTACTTGATGTAAAGTAGGCGAACAAAATTAGTTACCTCCATATTGGTTCACACACTTCTGGAGCGCCAAAGTTTGTTTGTTGTTTGAAAGTTGACTACAGATTGGGAACATTATACTTTTATGTAATAATACCAGTCATAATTATCCTCACCAAGCGTGTCGTTAATGATTTCTAGTCAGGCTGGTTTTTCATATATATATGTCTGGGTCTTTAGTATCGATTTTCGAAACACGGAACCGAACAGAGTTTTCGGTCTCTTGGAAATTGATAGTACTGTATTTTATATTTACTCATTATGCTCAGTTGTCACGTTTTATGACGACGCAAACATTTTCAGAATAATTTATTCGTATTGACAGAAATTCGGAGTCGTCATGATGTCTAATTGATCGCAGAAAATATTTTTACCTCTTCTCAAAATTAATATTCCGATAATTTCCTGGACATTTTTCGAATGCAAATTTTTTAATTTAAAAAATTTTTTATTTATCAAAATTTGGGTTAGAGAAAAATAACCAAGCATTGGGACAGTGCCCTGACAATAGGAGGCTAAATTTGAATTATATTATGTTATATTATGATTATAATTCAATTTAGCTCTCCTATTGTTCTGGCACTGTCCCAATCTTAGTTATTTTTCTCTAACCCAAATTTTGATACCATTATTTATGTGCATGCAATTTGCATTTCTTGTCATAGTTGTAAAATGCTTGTCTGAAGAAGTCCTGACCTTGGTCAGACGAAACGTTACAGAAATATATTTGTGTAAGTGTGCAGCAAGACTCTTGAATTGAATAGAATGTAATTTTTGTTGATGTTATTTCCATATCTTTCACTATTATTTGTAACATTCTTTTCCACATAATCGAAAACATTTCACCTTACAAATATAACTTACTAAAAGGAATTATACTCTTTTTATTCTCTGAATTTGGGTTCGCGGCTTCGCGCGAACCATGTGCATGTATTTTGGAATAAGGAAATTATGGCTTTCATAGCTCAGTTTCAGCTTGGCTGATCATTAATTTAAAAATTTGGGAATTTTGCCCAATTGTCGACTTCGTGACTTGTTTCATGCCAATTATACTATAGAAAATGTCACTATATTTGTTGACACATCAGGTATAAAAACGTCTGACCGAAAATAAGTTTCCAGATCTATTCATCAAAAATTTTGACGAATGTAACATTTTACAGATATCCACACGTATATAATTAATATGCGTCAGCGACGTACAGGCCCGACAAAAATAACTTTCAGTTTTGCTACTTTTTTTTATATAAGTATTCGATTAGCTAGCACACGCCTTGTATGTATAGGATACCACTGCGCGCGTATCCAAACGCCCAATTCCCACGTACATCTGTGATGTAAATTGTCTGCATTTCCTAATTTCTCTAATGTGTAGGCGAGAAATGAGGTAATAACGAAACAATTAAATATCAATATCTAACACTCACCAAGATCTCTAACTTTTTCCCAGTGGCTACGTGTCCATTCACGACCAAAACTTCTCCGGGTAGAAGATCTGCCTTACAATGGCTCCTGGTCTGATTTCACTTAAAATAGATGCCAGTACGAAATATTCCCGACGATCCTGCGTCACTCATAGATGTATTGCGAACATGGTGGTGATGAGAATCTAGACGCACCGAAGTTGCAGTCTGGTATCGTCTATCATCTAATAAAATTATATAAGGAACAATCACAGATAAATAGATATATGTAGGTCACAATAACCTTCGGATACAAACGCAGATATCACCTTCGATTTGAGTCTGAATCGAGAACGTGGAAGTAAAGCCAAACAAATTGTTGGCTACGAATATTTATCGTAATTTACAAGGCTTATTAGCCAAATAAAGAAAATCGCGATTTTCGTAGATCAAAAAAATATAATTATGTATGATGGACAAAGCTTGAGCTTGTTCAAGCAAATATATTCAAAGGACAACATTCATAAACAACTATAAGTGTGAAAAATATTATTTGATTTCTTGCAAAATCTAGCTAAATCCGCGAAAGGTTTTTTTAGTTAATGTGTGCTACAAAAATCACGGCTGAGTTCTAGTTTTACCAACCTGGTAAACTGCTTTCTGTAGGACTCCTTGTGGTGTTTTGCATAATAACCGACCGATGATTTTGGAGGTCCGATGTCAGTAATATGTTTCCTATCGCGCTGCCAACGAGTATTTTATTCCGACACACTTCAGAAACACTGCGAACAAGTTGAGGTGAAGAATTTGGAACTGGACTTGCTGATCGAGCATATATTCTTGGAGAATGGAATCGCCTTATTCCAGGTATCAAGTTTGTTACTGGTGAGAAAAAACCCATCGCTCGACTTCAGGATTGTGTGGGTTCGTTCGTGCACCCCGTTCGACATTAATCGTGTTCTATCTGTGGGGGAATTTGAATGACTGCTATCACTTCCTGGTGGGGACGTAGGAACAATATCATAATCTGCACTTGTTGCCATTGAATTGGTGAAGCCTTTTTATAGGATCTTAACACCTAATAATGAGCATATTTAAATACAGCTTTCTGTGACGTAAAATAACAATATGTTAACTTATGCTAATTTAGGTAAATGGCCATTTGCACGCGGAAAGCAATTGGAATAAAAATTCAAAAGTCTTGATGACAATATCTCACTGAAATTATTTTTTCTCTAAATCGTATACTTTATTGCAGTATATCTTCAATAAAATGCAAATACGATTGCAAACATTACATTGCTCACTTAGGAAATGTATAGCCATATGTGCACGTCAATTTTACCTATTATGTTTAACCTACCCGGCACTTAGATACATTTATAAATATATCATTGAATCACGTTTTATTTTATTGACTGTTCAAATTTCTATTTGTCTAAAGAGGTAGTTGTCAATATTCGGAGACGATATTTCCATACTTGGGTTAACATACCTATTGGAGGTGTTTAGAATTCAAAAGTGTTTCACTAAATTAAACTTTTTTCCCCTTCTTTTAACAATTCACTTTTCTAGAATTTCGAAATTTTTACAAAGTTCAATTTTCTAATACTGAATACTTGAACATATTGAAATGAAATTGTTTTGCATCAACAAAATATTTTCTTGCTTTTTAAAATCGAATATTAACGTAGAGGCACAACGAAACATATTTCAGAGGCAATGTTACAGTTCAGTTACAGTTGAACCACATGACCTTCCACGCATAAAGTCTTACTTCGAAAGGGAAATATCACGATGTATGGCATGTTCATGGTTGACGTCAAAAAGCTAAAGATCAATATAAAAATAGTATATATTGGCAAAAAGGAAAAAGAATTCGTCGGCGCGATGGACCGATCTCTTAGTTCCCGATGCTTGTGTTCATCGATATGCCCTGAACACGTTCACATGTATATATTGTCACTATATTATTTACAATTATATGATTTGCCCTATAGTGAACAACTCTCCGCTCGTAACTACTCACAATTTTAACTGCGTACCCGTAATATCATTATTGTCTGTGATATGTGTAGTTTTTGCGAAATAAAATACGCGTTTCCGCCTCATCCGATCATGTTAGATAATTTGTGTTTAAGAACAATAATCTGCTGCTGTAAAGGTAAAAGATTTCAATACTTTTCAAACTTCACTATTCAAGAAAGCGCAATAATTTATTCTGTGTTGTTGAGCTTGAAGTTATTTACTGCATTGCATTTGTAAATTGAATGCGCAATCGTACATGAACAATTTAACACCGTCTTTGCCTAAAAAATGACTGGTCCTGATAAACTTCTTCTGAACTTCCTGGCGTTTTGGCGATTTGTCAACTTCCGTCTGCGTTATCTTTTCCGAAAGTTTTAATATTTTAGATCCAATAAATTGATTGATTTTTTTTCACAGAGCTCCGTTTGAAGTCAAGTAGTAGTGAAAACGCCTCATAAAAACATAATATTTGATGAGTATAACTGATCATGTGCACGATATTCAATAGTGTGAAACTATCCGACGGGGCCCGAAGATGTGCCCGAAATTACTTTGTAATGAACATATTATATTAACGATGAAATGCATTCAACACTCAAAAAATGCAGCCCTCTTGCTAACAAATCATTACTACCGCTGGCTCATACCTTGATGCTCAAACTTAAAGAGTTTAAGTAAGACGCTAACAATCGCAATCCGTTATCTTACATCACTTAGTAATGCTTTTTTTAATCGATGTTCTGCTCGTGTAAGATGCAGTATGTTTAATAACGTACTGCATCGTCACACTAAAATATATCACGATGACACACACATGATTTGTTAGACTGAACTTTTGCATGTAGCAAAACCATGATATCATACAAGTTTTTGTATTAAATTGTAAACATGTAGTTTAAAACTGAGTTTTAAAATTGATCAAGTCTAAACGTGCTGGAAGGCTGGACAAGTAGATTCATGAAAATAGATCATTTGATATTTTTGGGTATCAAGAATAAAGAATTGATTTATGATACATATACTTTTACATAGACTAAATATTTTACAATATTTTATTCTATCAGCCAACAAGAGTCGTTTCCCAAAAGACACACTCTGTCAGAAACATGTACTCCGCTACCAATTTCGTTTTTTGTTTCATTGATAGTTAAAAACTAAATCATTAAGTAAATAACAATAATCTAAGTTGTACATACCCTCATTTTCTACTGACTGATTCATGTTAAATTACAATGGACCTTAATTTAGCAAAAGTTTAGTTTGCTCGAGACAGTATGATATGGTATACAGTTCGTCGGCATAGGCTGTTAGATTGTTTTCCATCATGTATAAGTGTCTCTATCGTGGAACTGTGTGGACTCGGAGTTAGTTTATAGTAAATAATTAAACTTTGAAAAATTTACTTGGAAAATCGCGTGAAAACCAAATACCAACATTACAATTTTTTTGCCTGCATGCTAACTTTTGAGTACTGCACTGGGTATTTACTCTTTTGCGTGTTTATAGAGAAAATGTAATACTTTATGAATAAAAACATTATTCATTTCTGACCCCCTGCAAACATATGAGAAAAATAGATCACCAGTCACCTATATTTCATGCGCCAATGATCATATTCCGTCAATTAGATATGATTAAGAGCAAATTTGCGAATTCTGAATAAATGCAGGTATGATGTAAAATATGACACATAACGAATGACAGTGTAATTTACCAATTGCATATAATAAAGGCATTATCAGCGGAGGTGCCACACTCTCTTACATTTACGATTTTCATTTCAAGATTTATTGCACCAAGAATTGAAACTTTCGTGGTAAGATTTATGCATATTTTCCACAATTTTTCTCATTATGAAAAAAGCTTTATTATGATATTCTCTCCCCGCTTAAGGAAAAGTCTGTTTGGGTATTTCGAATTGAAAATTCGAATCGAATAGCAAATTATTTGAATCCTTTCAAATTTGAAATCGCCATCGTCTTGTTTATTTTTTGTCTGCCAAAAGTCAATGTGAATCCTTCAATTTTTAGAATGCAATTTTGACTCCTTTCTTCATAGTGAATTGTTGATGAAACATGTTTCTCATTGGATGTGACAACTCAGTGAACTGACTGAGTAATGAACTCCATGTTTTTAGCAATTAATTTGCCAGGATGGCTTATTACAATGAAAAAAGTCACATACAACTACTTAGTTGTTAATAATTTATATATATATCTTCCGATATATAACTGTATTCAAGTATTCGATTTGAAAAAATATTCGATTCGATTCTGAAATTATCAGGTATTCTGACATACCCCGTGCTAATAATGAGTAGAGCATCAAATATTTGCAATAATAATAAAGTTCAACTCAAGTATTTAGTAGTGCATCCTATAGTCAATTTTATTTACAATAGCTGAAGTTGGACTGCTAAATTGACACGTACCATTTCAACCAAATTGACCTTTTGATTATACATACTGAATACGCGTCACGTACTAGCAATAAGCATGCGAATGGCAGAGTATCTACATATGTCACTAAAATAATTCGTCAGAGTTCCTGTGACAGCTTCTATATTTGAGTGTTGCACAATGCAATCAGTTGACAGAATGATTCCGCATTTGTGTTAATAACAGATAGGCGCGATAACTGATATTCTGTTTGTCTTATTATTATGTATAATCGATTGCGCCAGTTCCGTGTTAGGTCAGAGAGACGTCACTCCAACTTGTATCCTCACAAATTGACCCGTGAAATGAATCAAGGTGACTCATACAGAATACAAAGGGTATATTGAGCAATTTGGTCCGATAATCATCGTGTATGGTATACCCTTGTGCTCATTTATGAAGGTGTTCTGCTTGAAATATGATTATAAATATGCAGAAGTATACAACAATCTTACAAAATACTCCTACTTAATGTAATACCAACCTCGTGCACGAATCACCAATGTTGCCATCAATTCGACTTCATATGCTCATATGACCATTAATTTGTCTGGAGATTTATCCTAACCCATGCTTTAAATCAACTGCTCTTGCATTGGTTCTGTATACAACATACTGTCTTTACCTTTAGCGTTTCTGAGATATGTGTAGCAGTGCTCCCGTCGTTCCATTTTTCTCAGATTAGTCGCGAACCTGGTTTAGATCTCCAATATCATATTAGATTTCGATCACCAATATAATATTAATCTTACAAAAGAGTATACTAACAATCTACTTACAGGTAATAATTTCGGCAATAAATGGTAGGTATGTAAGTCGCATTTTGGTTGGGGTCGTACAAAAAATACATCAAATCAACATCGCGCCAGAGATTTTCTATACCCGCGATGGTCATAAATATTTCTCGTATCTTGAGTTGATACTAAACCTCCCACTCAGAAATCAGACTTTGTTAACGAATGCGTTGATTGTTCTGCTCGTTGGAACAACGCCAGGATAAAAACTTTATTTAATTATATAATAATAAAATTTATATAATTTGCCTCATTGTCATTTTGAATCCCGCGAACATTTCTGAAGCTACAGCAAGATACAAATGTACTAAAAGAAACCCTTGTAAAGAATTCCTTCGTTCCTAGTCTTTGCTCTTTTGATAAATTTTTGTGTTCTCTTTGGTCATATTAAAATACAAATCAATGGAAAGAAACATACAAAGTGCTATCTGGTGAGAAAATGACCAAATAAGAAATTTCCTATGCCAAAATCATGCCATATCATTTACAGTCTTTTAACAGAGATAACCATTCGGATAATTCGACATCTTTTTCTACCAACAAATGTTGATTTTCAATAATTGTTGCCGACGCTGATAGAATAAAAACAGAACAGGCGAGATTTTGCGAGTAAATATGAATTGAGAGATTTCTGACATCCTAGAACAATATTAGTTATATGTGTCGTCTATGTGTGATATACATTGCATCCGTACATAAGGACAACTATAATTTTCTGTCCATCGATTACTCTTCTATGCCGAAAACTACTTATATACTTATCTAATAATAAAGATTAGGATTTTGTGTTTTGTAAGTCGACGCTCGCAGGTTAAACCTTTGTCTCCTGGCTCAAATCAATCTGTTCTAATTGTCTGCTATCATATGCTTTGTTATAAGCTATTACTTCTTCCGTTTAATATCTGCTGAGCGTCATATTACGTCACTTCCGATTCAGCTGATGGGTGGATGATATCATCATTATTATTGATGCATCAATACATAGTATCATCGCTCGCCTACTGATGGTAATCTTAATCAATTTCCCGATATGTTATATAATGAAATAAATAAAACTCAACTTGCATAAGTGTTTAATTTTGATAATTGAACACGCCTAGAAATTTTTAAAGACCACTGGAAGATGACCAGCATATTGAATAATCGCGATGCTTATCAATATGTCACGTTTATTGGGATATTTCATGAAGCGTTACGTATGCTATTTAAGTCTGTGCGTGAGAGGCTGCTGCTGTTAGACAACATGGACAGCAATTCTTGCGGCAAAAGAACGACACCGTTGTTGTTAAGAGTGCGATGAAGCCCCCGATAATTGACGTAACTTTTTAAAAGATTTTCGCGGGTACCGACCATATTAATAGCATAGTACACGATGTCGATTTTATCATCCTTTATTCTATGCCATGAAATCTGTAGTTCTATTCAGATTAAGAACCAAATTTGAGGAATTTACTATCGTTTTATGTCGAAAGAAACTGAAACCTCGATAAAAATTCTGTCAATCGTTGCATTAATACAGTCACATTGAAAAAAAAAATTCAGTTTTCCTACTATTTAGCTCGTTGGCTTTCTTTGACCCTTGTTCGAACACGTGTATGTTTGGAAAGATTGAAACTTATCAATAAAGCGAACCAAGTAAATTTGTAAATGTCAGCAGTTAACGACAATACAATAGATAGATAGATACACATATATATTTTATTGTGTACTATACAGAATGCAAAACCAATCTTACTAAAAAGAAAATAAAATTTAATTCATTTAAAAATATGTTGAGGCATTTTAGCGCCATGTAAAAAGCATTTAACATATCACATTCTCATAAAATCATCCATCAATAACACCTTTTCATCTTCTCTAGTATATGTTGCTGAAATACGTTCTGAAAAGGAAAATATATTGTGCTAATTGTACTGTTTATGGTTGTGCAGAATCAGGCACGAAGTTACGACGTTAAATATAAAGCACGGTAAATTTTATAATTGGGGCCCTATTTTTCAAAAAACTATGAAATATAATAAAAAAGTAAGCCGTAAACCGAACAAAAGTCAAGATTTTGAAATGAAAAATGTTGAACAGAAACCCCAGAATTGTGTCATTGCTCAAATTTTGTATTTCGGAACCCCGAGCCAGGAGTAGAGTCGCTGTCAAGTTTTGGCAACCAGGTGTAAGTGTGTTGAATACAGAGTAGTCGAGAGTTCGGGCCAAATATAGTTTTCCTTCTACTTGAAATTACTAGCAATAAGCAACGGAGTAAATTTACTTACATTTCAGTTAACATAAAGTGAGTGAAGACAAAGATATTATTAGGACAAATGCAAATAGAGCTAGCGAGAAGATATATTCAATTTATATTCACTTACCACGACCGTGGGTTGACTTGTCGGACTTAATTTTTCCTCTGTAAAAATTTAAAAAATAAATATATATCAGTTAAACAATATTATTATATGACTTATTATGACATATACACAAAAGGTTGTAAATTTATATATTCAATTTAACAAGAGAAACAGAACACAAGAAAAAACTGAATAAAACAGGCGCGGATTCGGGTCGTAAGCGTTAGCTCATAATTTAGTAGAAACTATCGCAAAAGCTTCCATCTTAAATTAACGCTATTTAGAGTATTCTTCAAGACGTACTTCGAAGATAGATGAATAATATCGAATCAACTTGTTTCGTCGGATCAAAACAGATCTCGATTTACAAATTTTTCATCGACGCTGATAAAATAAAAAATATTTAAGCAGAAACGAATGAACGAGAGAGAACGAATAAATATCAATTAATACTTCTCTTTATAATGTGCTCTCCATAGGCTATGTCACTAGATTAATTCACCCTTAATCGTCCATTTGTATTTGTGGGACATTTTTTACAAACATGGACTCGTGAATATAAAATACTTGCATGAATCTCAACTACTGCGACGTACACTTTACCGTGGATGTTGTGGCTGGCTGTTTGGGAAGAAAATTTATCACCACTTCCACCGGTGGTTATATACGTTCACATTGTTTTCTTTGGGTCAGGCGCCCCTACACTGTGTTGTTTTCGGCTCTGTCGAACGCTTGTGTTTTATTAGAACTCTCTCTCCTACTAATTATGTAATTAAGTCAATCATTATAAGGTTTGTTATTGTCTGGAGATTAATGACTCAAATGTAAGAAGTACCTTTTTACGATTCAGTCAATTTGCATTGTGTTTCTTTTTTGGTATTGGTGCACGACTGCATCACACTTTTCGTGTGCGTTTGAAACTTCAAATGAATATTATGTGATTTGCAGTTTTTAAAACCAAGTGTTGTAATTGTATTGCATATGCTGGTGTTCATTCGTGCTTCGAATCAAGCATGGATATTCCAATTGTTATAGTGATTATAAAGTATGCTTGAAATTGTAATAATCCTCTTCACTAGTAATACCAATCATATATATTATTGACGGCCAAATGACTCTTGAGAAATTGTTGCTCGGCTAAACTATACTTTTGTCATAAATACGTGCCTTATGGGCGTAGGTCAACAGATAAAGGATTTGGCAGTTTTGGAAAACGAATATGAAAAATTCTGTCGGTTGGGAATTCAACATGTAAATAGGTATACTTGTGCAATGCACAAAGCACTTAATGATATTTCGATAGCTGGTTAAACCAACTTGAAGTCTTAGTGTATGTCTGTCGTCTGCAAAAACAGTGAAACCCACACAGCAAAGTGAAGTGCGCACACAAGGTTTGTATTTCTAATTATAATTATATTTGAACAGATTGAAGGAAAGAAAACTAAAGAGAGAGAGAGAGAGTACCATTTTAAAAGAAAAAATAAGATAAATAAAAAAAAATTATTCAAACAAATTGCAATGAAAGTCAACGATAATGTTTGTGCTCCAGAATTGTTGAAATTAAATTGCTTCAAGCTGGCACATAACAAGCCTTGAGTAGAATAAACTTTAGGACAAATACCCAGAATATGAATTGTTTTCTCATTCTATTTCCATAAATTAGAATCTTACTGCTATTAAAATTGATCTATTGACATCTGAAAGTTATTCTGTTGTTGTTCATAAAATTGCCATCAACAGTATAGGAAAATCAATGACTTAATAATGAGTGGGGCACCACTTTCTAATGAAAATTTCTGATATAGAGAAGGCGAAATGCTATAAAGGTATCAAGCCACAAACCATGCTATCGAAAAAAATAGTAAATTTGAGCATTTTCCTATAGAATACCAGAAAAAAACAATCAGGTATATTACTACTGAACATGTGATTAGCTACACCTATCAAGTGAAATTTATTGGTTTGAATTGTTTTTGTTTAACAATAAAGTACAGAAAATATCCACTTCTCTTGACAGGAGAAAGAAATTACTGAAGAAAGTGAAAAAATTCTCTGTAAAATATAAGTGCTTGTGTTTGTGAATCCTTGTATTCATACATTCACAGAGTAGAAATTGTGTTCATTCACTATCTGATTTCCAAGGAAGATTTAAGATCTCATTCAAATATTAGGATTCCGGGGGAAAGGAAAGCCAATAAGGCATATTTATCATCTTCAGCATGAGCATAGGTTTGGAACTGAATAACGTATCATTTACTCTGTTATATAATTGGTTAAATAATTAGAAGAATGATTTGAATTTTCTTAATTTATAAGAATTTAAATTTCGCATATAATAAGTTAAATTCAAAATAAAAAGTGAAATCGACATAACCTTACTATAAAAACCTTGTATTGCAACACAATAGATTGTTACATAGTGACAACGCTTATTTCCATAACGCTATGTATATATTGGATCACTACTATTTATGCTACTTTGCGAACTACGATGGCAGTGCACTTGAGAATAAACAGCTCAAAACCACAAGAACAACACATAAAAATGTGAAACGTGCTATGTCATCACAGGTGTTTCATACTTTTGTTGTCTTTGTCGTCTTTGATGGCTTTTGCCACTCGATCCATCAGCACTTGCTCGATCATGCTGACCCTTGAAACTAGGTTTTTTCTGATGATGAGGTGGAGACAGGGTCCTGTGCAGTCTGTCTGTTTTGTTGTGATTATTGTTCACAGCATTTGACTGAGCCAAAGATCTTTGTTTTCCAGAGAAGTCTGGATAAGTGTGCTGCCTTGAATGGGCTTGCTCTAATGTAGAGTCACGTCTATTCGGAGATTTAGGCAAGTTAGGGTAAGACGGATAGGTTGGGTGTGATGCATAACTCGGTGGATGAGTCTCAACTGTAAGAGAATTTGATCCCTGATAAGGTCTTTCTCCTCTTTCAACATCATTCCCTGATTTGTATGGTTGTGTCAGGGCATTGGATGTCTCAGAAGAAGATTGTAAAAAATGGGGTTTCTTCTGACCACCACCCCATGAAGATGTTGATGTTCTGTAAATTAACAATACCCAATCAATGCTGATTAAAAAAAAAATAGAAAGTGAAACTCAACATACAATTATAGTATTAACTTCAACTCTAAGAAGAAAAGAATATGAAATAAACCTGTTTATGTAAACAAGTATGATTGATCTTGTAAAAAAGCCAAAAAAAATATGTATTTGTACTCTCAAATGCAACAATTTTCAGCAATACAATCCAAGCAGCATGCTTGGTTAGAACAATACCCAAATCTCACAATAAATTGTTTATCAAAATATTAATATGCAGTACAGGAAGAAGCAGTTTTCATCTGAACTGCCAAAATTATCGCACAAGATTCACCAACCCTAAATAGTTTGCTCATATATATTATATGTATATATAGCAAGCAATTTATTTTCAGTTTAAAACCAAAAAGCTATCAATTGCAGATAACCTTATTGATATTTGTAAACATTCAAAATTGGTCTAAATAAAATATAGTAATCGGCACTGTTTTTGTGGAGCACATCTCCATTTACAATATATTTCATATACCATATTCAAAAAATTTTTTTTTGATTTTAATTTTTGAACTTTTCTGAATGATTCATATTGGAATTTGTTCAGCCTCTTATGATCTAATGATAAATTTTGTTTAATGTAATAAAATTGAGAAATATTAGAACATCTGCAACCAATCATTATTCATCTGTATATTTCAGAAATTGCCAAGTTAAATAAACCACATTCTTCAGAAATACTATGTACATGCTCTTTAGATACATAGATTCAGTCAAACAAAATTTAAACTGGAAAATGAGCTAGAGCTAGAATAAGTAATACAAAAGAAATCCATACAATAAAGATCACCAAAAACGAATACTGACCTATCTTGTGATTAGATGAAAAGAGGAAGATGAGAAACCGAAAAAAATTGAGAATGTGATGAAGAATGGAAAAGGAAAAAAGATGAGAGGAATTTTGTATTAGTCATGATGATTAGTAGAGTATATTTGGCATTGAAATATTTATGCCAGATTTGTCAATGAAATGTTGAGGTCCTAACTAAACTAAAAGTGGAAAGACCAAATAGAAGATTCAAACGTAACCATTGACTAATTTAGCTTTGTGACTGAGTACCAATTGACATGAAACAATGCCAGGAAAATAGTTATGTGAAAAAAATTCTAATATGTAGAAGTCTACAGTACAAATTTTTGTTGAAATTGAATTCTGGAACTCACAGAGTTTGAATAAGTCGAGTATAAAGTATTTAACAAAAATATTCACATCGAGACAGAAAAAGTTGAAAGATAAATGCGTAATACAAATACAAAGCATATAAAATTAATCAGAAGTTGTTGAAAAGTTTCTGGGTTTTCGTTCAGTCGCATTGAAATCCATAGTACGCTTATAACTTCTATGAAGGTTTTTTTGTTTATTAAGATCAACCGCCTCTTTGCTGGCGTTATGTGACCTCTTTTGCAAACTTTGTTTACCATTTGAGAATGCAGACAAGTCAGTCTTATTCAGCAAAGGTGTTGAAGAGCGTCGTTTGAAATTCGGAATAGGCAAAGAATCTTTATCATTAAATAAAGTGTATGTATCATTGACGGGTGGTGGAGTCATGCACTTTGAGTGATATGGTGGTGGGGTGCTGGACTGGGTGTAAATGGTTGGAGGTCTTTGTATTGATGATGGGGAGGTAGAAGCAGGATCTTTTACAAAGCGATCAAAACCAACAGAAGGCTGTTGCGAAGAACTGAAATAATAGAATGAAAATGAAATATGAACAGAATAAGTAAAGGATAAGTTTGAAATGATAAAAGATGTAAGATGAAGAAAGATGTGGAAATAGAAAATTTTTTTATAAATATCAGGGTCAGAGTTCAACGCAAGAAAACCTCGGCTTCGACTTGGGGAAGTTTGAAATATAAATGTAGTATATAGATAAGTTAGGTTCCACTGACTTCCATACCGGCAACAAAACTGACAAACTTTAGAAAAAAAATTAAGTTGGCAAGCAAGTTCAAGGCTAGTGTGAATCCAACAGTCTTGCTTTGACTAATAAATAATGTTGTCTAATTGGGAAAGAAAATCCCTACGCTCCAGTAAAAGCAAAATCTGGAGTTATAGATCTTTCGAAGCTGAAGAATAATTCCTTGACACATACTTCTCAGCTATCCTTAGTATAACTTGTCTAATATTAGTAGATGCTGGGCACCGATAACACCAAGATACTGTTGCTATGGACCCTATTGTTATCCACAACTTGGCAATGGTAAAAGAACTGATTTTATGGTATATTAGTTTCACATCCATTTTTATAGGTTAGTGCTTTCACTCAATTTATGACTTTACTCCAGGGAGTTATGATTATAAACCTAAAGACACAAACACCTAAAAATAAACTGAAAAATGTGAACAATTCAAGCCAATAAACTCAGTCCATACTGCAGGTCTGAGTAGTTAGTGCACCTTTAGTTTAAATCACATATATAAGCATGAGAAGCAGAATTTATATTCTCAACTTGATTTGATTCTCAACAATCAATGGTCCCTACTTTTAACATATTTAAAATTCGATGAAAGATCAATTTGTTGAGTAATTACTGATATAATATTATTGTAAGAGTACTCAATATTGAATATTTGTCTTATTTGAAAGTTTCAAATTCTTCAATGTGGTTGAATGAATGTGGCAAAGTTAAAGAAGCTTAGTTTATCGAAAGAGTGAATTTTTAAACTCGACCATTAGTGTAAAACAATTATTTGTTTGTATTACTTTGTATAGAAAAAGAGACTATAAACTACTTAAAGCTGTGTGGAATTTTCCAAATATATTAAACTAAAATTAAATCCAGAATATAATATTGTAAAAATTTCTATATTTTGGAAGACAGCGCCGTTACATAATAATTAATCATTTTTAATTGTAGTGAATTAAATCATTTCAATTAAAATTTTGTAATTAATAATATTTCTATATACCCAAAATTAAAACTAAATTAAGTACGAATTAATCGATTTAGCAACATATAATTATGATTTTAACATTGGGAAAACCATGCCTCACCCACCGCATTACCAACTTACAATAAGCCAATATCTTAGTCCGTTGAAGATAAAGATGGACCTTTCGGATATTCCGATGGTGTGGCAGACCTTGGGTAACTGCATTGAAATGGCACGAGTGTGCGTTATACATCTATCCTAAAAGACTAAGGTATCAACAAAAAGCTACCCAGTGCTACAATGCGCAATCATATTGAACCGATTATCCCAAAGTCTTGTTGGAATTTATATTATCTTGGAGTATTCTTATGAGAAGTTTGTCACGACTTTTCTTGAAACACGGCTCTATACAAGCAATATAATAGTGGAAATTCATGAGGTGAACATATGAAAAGCATGAAATTCTTAATCCATATTCAGTTTGTAATGACCTTAAGTTTTTGTTGTCAAAGTAGAGTCCAGAACTGAAAGAGGTCACATTTGTTAATGAATTTAGCGAAATCAAAAATTGGATTCATAACACAAATGTGTTCATACAATGATACAGATAGTATCATAAAAATTGGTGACATTGTCTTATCAGCTTTTTTGTTTCCAGATAAATAAAATTATCTGGAAAGTAAACTCTTACCTTGTGGATAAAGGATTTCCACCACAATAATCAAACTGCATTAAGCAGAATATAAGATCGGATGGAACAAGTTTAAAATCATCTGGTGGACTTGTAATCACATATCGTTTTGATGTTAAACTTGCAACTGGATTATTGACATCACGAAACCTGTAAATACATTGAGATTATTGCTTATTTGCAAAATTAGCTTGAATTCCTGCAAATGAAATTGACTTGTTTCTCTCTGAAATAGCATTGATTCACAAAATTTTGACAGCAAAGTTTGAATTTGAAAACTGTCTATGGCAAATAAACCAATGCTGTAATTTGAAGTGATCATTTACCTGTATATTCCAAAACATAGTAGGTTGTATTTCTGTAAAGCTCTGACAAATAAATCTCCATAATTTCCACCATTCTGAAAATAAAAGATACGATATAATCAGAGAAATTTCTTTAAAATTCCAGGTATTGGTACAGTTACAGTTATACACATCCAAGCTACACTTATTTCAGTTGTAACAGTGACTATTTAAGCATAATAACCAAAGGCAAACAAAAAGGAAGGCCATATCGTTAGATACAATCCAAATTTTCCAGCAATGTATGAAAGGTTATTTGAGAAATTTATCATGAACTTGCTCTACGGTTGGCACATTATCATGCTTGGAAAAGAAACTTGTCTGCAATCGCACTCTTGATTATACCTTGGGGGTTTGCATGTTCAAGTTTCATACAGGATAACTGTGCGAAAAAGGATTACAAGACTTCTCACCATCTGCATGTACAGTTACAGATTCTTAAACATTCGGTTGCTTTCGTAAAAACTATTGCCAATAGCTGACTTGGACTGGTAACCAACTAAGAAATATTGTCCGCCCTGATATTAAGCCATCTTATTAGCATTATTGCCACCAGGTACATCTATGTTAAAAAAATATGGAGCTAACTAGTGTAAGCAAAACGTAATGTACTGAAGTTTCGCATTAGTATACTGATAAATTTTGCTCCATACATATTTAAATTGTTGATCTATTGCATAGTTTTGCTTTCACTGGTTGTGCCCTAGATAACGTCAATATTAAACCATCTTATCATTTTTCCTGTTCCTAGAAAAAATACTCAACAATTCACTCACCCCAAGTCTTGCAAACGGGCCATCAAACAAAGCTAATTGTGCCACTCTGCATCTATCTCTGTTTGCTAAGGATTCAGCAGTAGAATATCCACCCCTCAAAGCATTACCTTCAGCGAGTATTGCTTCCAACTCTGGAGTAGCTCCCCCGGTTATTAAAGTTCTTATTAATGTGAGAGCATTGCTGTTGAAATAGGTCTGCATCATAAAACAAAATGATATTTTTATGCTGATATAAACATTTTATAACATCAGAGCTATTCCATCACCCACTGACATGTCAGAGATACTATTGTTTAAAAATGAAGTATTTCCCTGATTCGGCATTGCCGACTCAATTTAGTACACCATGAAGAGGTGGTAGGCATGATGTTTTAAACCTGATATCCTTGAACTGCAATACCAACATTGTTAAGTCGACTGCTTTAACTAGTAGATCTCCAAGTCACTTGACCCGCCAATCTAGTTGCTAAGTTAGCTCAGAATACAGCATATTTATTCACAATTGTTTATGTTGAGATTCCAGTCTTCCATGTGAAGATCGTACTCACCGCACTAACGAGAGAATCCAAAACACTGACAGCAAAAGCAGTTCCACAAGCAAAAGGTTGTGTAAGATACAATTCTGTATCAGGATCATCATCATCATCTTGATCCAAGAATTGAACATTTGTATCATTTACTAAAAAGACATAAAATCTCGATATTCCAAATGGGTAACAATGAATTTCATAAGTTTTTCTATATGAAAATATAGATACTAACCCAATTCAGTTATCATTGGAATATTTGATCCACTAGTTACACCCTGTGATGTATCATGAACATTTGTAGCAGGAGTTTCATGTGGTGGAAAACCTGAAAAAAATAAATGCAGTTGCTCACTTTGGAGTCATACAATATACAGCGATAAAGTAGAAGTATATGCAAAGAGTGTTCAATGACTTTTGACCAAAAATGCTCAGAAAAAAAGTGAATTTTTTAATTGTTTCAACATAGACTATATCACGCTGACATCAAAGAAATACAACACATTTTACCCATTGTTTTTTCGAAGTATAATACAAATAATACGAGTATAGTACATACTGTTGAGTGGTTAGTCAAGACATTGCTACATATAATGGAGAATAACATAATATAGAATAATCACAATCTTTATTCTCGTTTGACATATCAGGACACATACATAACATACTAAAAATGCATATTTAGAGTCAGTGGTAAAACAATTTAAAGGCAGGATCTTCTGATTTTTATTGAACATGAAATAAACCTGAATATCAACTTACTAAATTGTTGCTATTAATATTATTTGTTTTAAAATTTTCTGCAGATGAAGATGGTAGTCTCTCTCAGAAATTTTTTTAATTTTTAAATGATGAACCAAGAGAACCAGGAGACTTGTGTTAAATGATTTTAGTTTGAAGTAATTGGGCCACCATGTAGATTTCCAGATCACCAATTGCATTAAGCTGAGTTAATGGACACCATATCTCGAGGTACAGTAAAGATAGAGGTACTGATTATAATCATATATATCTACATATAAGATTTCGTGTAATTTATTCGATTCTATTTTCAACTTTAATCAATATATATATATATACATACACTTTACCTCGCGAGCTAGCCTGCAGCAGACTGATGCTGTTATCAAATTGCATTGATTTAATATTAAGTGAAGCTAATATAGATTCTTTATCTTGCAATGATGGATCTTCAATCGCATTCTGATTAGCGGATAAGATAACACACATATCTGATAAATTTACATTAACAGCACGTAAATCGGCTCGGCTTAGTGGAGAACCCTGAAAAAATAAAGAAATTTAAAAATATTGTAGATATAATAACATATAAAGTAATGCCCAATTCGATTTACATCTAAACACTGTACGATATTAACTTAGTTCACCATTGGCACCACTAGCTGTGATATGCATTTGAAATAGGCTTAATGATAGTAGTATAGGATTACCAAATTTATCCTGGTTCGGGGCAGATAAGACGGCTTAATTATATAGCAAACCACAACCTCTATTCCTACATGGAAGACAGTTGTTTGTTACCATGAAAATGATTTGATGACTCAATTACTCCCAACCATTTTAGGATAGTTCACATATAAACATTGCATTATTCACTTAGCAAATTCATGAATGTGCACATATTAAACTGTCTAAATAATGTATGGAACAGTAGACCAGGTGTGTTGGCCAAAAATGTGGTTGGTCATGGCTCTCCATATGAATCTTATCAGTTTTTTTTTGCTAATGGAATAAATAAATAATTCTATTTTATAATGAAACTATCAAATGTGTACGCACTGGTAATATAGATATTTTTGGAAAGTTGCAAACAGTATCCCATTCTCTTCTGATAAAACCAAGATCTCCAAGAAGTACAATATGTTTTAGTTCATGATAATGAAAGTTTGATGCTCGCAAAGGCATTATAAAATTTCGCAATCCCAACAAAGGACTTTTTGCATCTCCGAATATACAATTGATGATATGTCCATTGAGAACTGTGTTCGCAGCTTTGTCTCGACTCTGTGAAGAAAACAAGTCATCATGGTTAAAAATCATGAGTATGTATGATAAGTAAAAACAGACTTAAATGGATGCCTTAAATTACCTGTAAACTGGTATCTGCTGTTATTTAAATAGTGACAGTGAAATTATATCTAGCCGTTAGCGTATGTGCAGTGCTTACAACTCCTTCATCAGTAATTTATTCTATTTTAGTCGAGGGCTCGCAATTTTGCTCTGAGTAAACATTATCGAAGCCAAAGACTTAGTACTATTCCAAGTAAATTCTTACCAAAATACACTTTTCTATATCTTTAGCAGGACACCAATGAAACATTCCAGTAACATCATATTTCATTGCAGAATCGACATCCTGTGTACTTTGAACATTGGTCGCTGGTGATATTATGGATGACAAGAGTTGTGTATTGGAAGATTGGTCTTTTCTGCAATTCAAAAAAAAATACAAAATGGTCATCCAAGGTTTTCTCCAACAAGCAAGCATATGCACAATGATATCTGAACTAGTGAACTAAAGCCATCTACAAGGGAGACAATTCAAATAGTGATTGGAACGATATATCCTACTACTGTTCACACACTTTGGTTTGGCAACTGGGCAGTCGGTCACAGTTTTCCTTATGATGAGATGTTAGTGAATTTTCGGACTATTAGCAGAAATAGCAAATCATATAATTGTTAATAATGGTGATACTCAACTTTTTTTTATATGAATATACTAATATATAGTATAGCTTAATATCAAACCTGTGCCTGAGACTGTCTGAAGGCTGTCTCATAAGTTGTGTATTCGTAGTAGGTAGTGAGTCTTTTTGTGAAGGAGCAGATGCTTGCTTTGTGTAAGGCGGAGGTGGTATTTCAGCTAAATATCAAAAAACATTAGTATCGGCACACAATTGTTAAAATAAAACCTTGATGGAACAATCAACATATAATATGGCAAACTAGCACAAAAAACAAAACATTGAACTGATGTATATTATACTTCTATCCAATGCTGGTATTATTTTCAAGTGTGAGATAATATTTTCAATAATTATAATTCATTGGGCCTAATCTTTAATAACTTAGCAACAATCAAATGCAGAAATTATCAGAGTTCCAAACTCCCATATCATGGAATTAGCTTAAGTAAAGTCAATAAATAAAACGATAATTCAAACAATTATTTACAATATTAAACAATATACTTAATTTAACTATAAATAATGTCTATAGCTAATTTCCATGCAAATATCAGACATAGTTCAGTGAAACAATGCTGTCAGATGTAAGTATGATGCATTAAATGAAAATGATGAGTTAATGAGTGTCAATGAGCCATGCCTATTGTGTGCTTTCACAATTTAGACATGTTTCTCCCATACAATTTGATCATAACAAGTTTGAGCGAACAGCACTCAAATTGTATTGTAGAATGCCAGCTGCCAATAGACAAGCTGTGACTACAACTGGAGGTATCTTGCATGTATAGAAAAAATTATCAATTATATCATTTTTTCTAGCATGCCTATTTAGTTGACTTATTGGTTTTAGAATAGGTTGTTATATGTTTCGAATCTAAAATAAATCGGTAAAATTAGTGAATTATATTAGAAAAATGTACTTAATTTTTGTAAGTAACCATGCATTTTTTAATGATCGTACTTGATTAAAATAAGAAACTGATTCGAAACACAACTCCACATGGGTGAAAGACATATCAACCTAATAATTGATAATTACTGTAACAATTAGTTAAGCTGTCTCTTAGAACTTTTGCTCTAGCAAGCTCAACCTATAGACCTCACTCATCTATTATATTATTCTTGTATGAAAGCTGTTAACGTGGTTGACATGCAACTACAATGAAAACTATAAATGAAGAGAAATTATAATAATGACAGCATAAAATTCAGAAGACAAAATCCAAGGAACAAAAATAGTGAATGTGACAAGTTCATGTTGTGCTAAAATAAAAATAAAATCTGGGATTGATATATAATTCAACCATGATTTGAGCAGCTTTCTCCAGAGAGAGCTATTAGGCTGCAATAGAGACATATTGTGATATAAGTAGTGGGATTTCAAGATGATAAGAATTTACATACATTATTCTAAGCATATAATGATAATAAAAAAATTTTTGAACAGCATAGCTAAATAATAAGTTTGTGTTGACAATGGCCGCAGGTTGTCAAATAAAATAAATATTTACAGCAATCATCATCTTCAACCCACTAAGTTCATTCTCTCATATCCATAATGTTTATAGACATTTTTACTGCAACTACGATAATTGAATCAGTATCCTATGCATTTAATAAAAGTTATCAAAGATGGTACAAGAAACTATTTTAGTTTTTATTATAGTAGTTTTTATCATAACAACATGGTTTAAAAGCCAAAGCTTCTTCATGATTCACAAGCAGGCAGGCAGTTGCAGCATTTTAATTGAACCTAGTTTTAATTAATGATAGTTATTAATGATTAATTCAAAACTGCGTGAATAGTTGTGTTCGAGGAGTCATTTACATAAATATTATTGTTGTAAGACTTGGCTTCTGAATTACACTATTTTTTTAAAACAAAAGTAATGATTTAATAAATTAGTCTTCCAGAAACAACAATTCATTTTAATAAACACTTGAAACATGTACCGGTAATAATAAATAAAATTCTTGCAAAAGTAAAAATATCCATTCAGCAACTGAATTTAGTTTATGATGAAACAAAACAGAACAGAACAAATCATAAACGGGGACAGAGAACAGATGCATTCTGCATTCCCAATGTAAAATTTACCGCGATGCATTGGGGGAACCGAACAAATCTGTCTGTCTGAATTGGTGTGGTTGCCATCAAAAAGTAGACATGAACCTTCCGATACAACAAGGGTTTTTGCTTTCTTCCGATTGCCTATTTTATACAATTTTGAATCAAATTGTGTTTATTATTTAATGTTGTCAAATCGCTCAACTGGGGTTAGAATGAATTCTCTAGCATAAACAGAATCCATTTTTAGCCACAAGATAGTAAGTTTTTATACAGAGTTGCTTGAAAATAAACATATTCACTGGACAAACCATACATAACAGATAATAGATGGCATATACACACATAACGCATTAACAGAATAACATACATGAAGCACAAACAGCAGCAAAATAAATATAATTATAGAGGCATCATTAATTATACAACAGTCATATTATTTTAAATAAGCTTGATATGGAATTACATTCATGATATAACAAGATTCAAATAAGCTGTCCCTTGGTTAAATCATGGTTAAACATGTCACAGCCATGGTTGTTTACTAGCTATGTTAAAGCAAAACTGCCTGAAAATTTTTATTCAAATTTCAATGTTTAAAATTAATCTTCAAGTTGAAAAACAAATGGTTGACAGTGGAATAGAATTAATTGAACCACCAAAACGAAACATACAATTAGTAGGAATTAATTAATCTTTATTTATTTGAGAAGCAAATTAAATATAGCCACCATTGAACAATGACTTACCGTGTACTGGTTTGCTGCTCGGAAATACAAACAGGTGCGACTTGCGCTTGCCTGCAGTATCGAAAAACAGTCAACTAATAACACAAAATTGACTGATATTTCACAGTTTTAGTTTAATAAGAGAACGAAAACAACAGAATATATTCACATTAACATTTATCATATACAAAAACATACAGCTCACATATCAATATGCTTGGTAGAATAATATGAGGTATCTCATTACAGAATAAACGATTACACAAGTACAGAAAGACATGGCATTATTTTGGAATTATTAATTCTCTCAAATTATAATTGACATTTTGAATCTTTTATAAAATTCCTTTGGTGAAAGAGCACTTTCTGCTTGAGTACAAAATTTATAAATTAACTTAAATTCTTTATATTACTCTCATCGAGTAGTTCAAAAAATTAATATTCACAAATTCTTCTCATTTTACGAGATACCAATAATCAAACTATTAATTAACAAAGAATTTCATGCATTATCCCATTACATGCAGCCATGCATTACATAAAACATAAGCAAAGATATTTAAAGGGAATTCAAAAGAATTTGAGTCAAATTAAAAGGTGTAAATGAGTGAAAGAGATTCAATTTGAAGTTTTAGGAAAGATAAATCATCAGTACCGTATATTTTGAAACAAGTAAAGTTGAATAATCACTACTATCTTCAATGAAATATTATAGTTTGACCATTTTTTGATACCACTGTATAAATATGCCATTTTGATATCGGCATTTTTTGAAAGTACAATTGAATGAATGCAAACGTTTGTATATAAAGCACGCACATAACAATACAAAAGCGCCACCATCATGCGACAACCACTTTTCTTACTTGACAATTCTTTTTTTCGTCGGCATTCGCATGATTTTATAAGATCTGGGTATGCGATATCCTCATGACATGATTTGCAGTATAACAGTGCCCTATGGTGATAATTAAATAATATAGACGCCTTACTCCATAACACATGGGTATACAGCGCACTGTGTGATATTTGGTAAACTAGACATTTCAATATTCAATTTGTTGAATCTTTTCAAAATAGAATTTGCAAGGAATATTAGTTTCAAAAATTGTGTGAAAATCATGTTTTTTAGTCAAATTTAGTATATTTAATTTTTACAGTGAATACTGTTATTCCAATACTTTCTTTTCATGCACGGCAATTGTTTTCAATTATATTAAAACTTGTAATTACTTGTAAATTCTCAATTTAGAGGAATCTAAAATATGATTGGAATTCCAATGATTTCATATAGACAAGCAAAGAAATGAATTAAAAAAAAAAAAAATTAAAAAATACATTCAAAATTTCTTTAAATTAATTAAACATATATGCAATCTGTTAATGATTAACAGACGATGGGCTGAAAATTTAAAAGTAAAAAAATTGAAGCAAAGTATAGTATACTGAGTTAGAATAGAAATAGAAAAACTAAGCATATGTGTAATTATAAAGAAAAAACAAAAGATCAAATCTTCAACAACTAAACATGCGCAATAATTCCAGAATTATTCAAAGTGCATCAATTTTTGACTTCGCTTACTTTTGAAATGTTCGCAAACCTGGAGTTTTTTCTCATCATCTACATTACCATGACAGTCTTTGCAATAATAGAATGCTCTAGTAATTGGAAAAAATGTTTCGTAAACTGACTCAATATTTTATTGTTTTATATTTAAAATTTGCCCTAATCAGAATTGCAATACAGTAATGAATGTTGGAATGAGACTTTTTTGCTGCTATAAAACACACAAATCAAGAAGTAAAAATAATATGAAATACGGCATAGGTACTTCGTCGAAAAACCCTGCAACACATCTATTAAAAAATTGATTTACCCTTTTTTGCAGGGAAGAAAATTGATCATTCAAACCTCAAAACATTTTGTTGCACAATTCTCAACTCACCTCTTTACTTCCTTAGCAGATTGTGCGACAAAAAATCCAAGTGTTCCCTCCTGAATTTTAACGTGATTACCTGGGTTGATCATAATTCTGAAACATTAAAACAATATTATCATTGTCACTCAATCATTACCACAATCAAATTTGTTCCTCCTATGCAACGTAATAAAAGGGGTAACACATAAACACTTGTTTGGAGTGAAGTCATGAAAACGCTGTATAGAAAAAATAAATGTTATGAGTTAAGATTTTATTTTTCACCAAAATATTATTGATAATGAAAACAACTTTCTCAGAACTTTCAAAAAAACCATTTAAGCATATTTTACGCAATGAATATTTAGTCCTATATTGCCAAAACAGGATTACCGGTACTTTCATTTCCAAATACACGGATGCTGAAAAGCCAACCCTTGGGAACTGTCAGGGTCATGGTTTAGAATAAGTCTTCATTATTAATGGACGTGACCTTTCACTGAGGATCAATTTTGAAAAGCGCGAATGTAAACTTGTCATTCAATTAATTTTCATGAGCATGGCCAAAGTCACAATCCTCCAAATATTTAAATTCTTTCTCTTTTTTTTTTCGTGTGTGATGTAAATAAACAAAAGTAGTGACATCTTGGTGTAAGACTGGCAAAGAGTAATCACTTTTGAATTGCATCTTTTTGAGCTAATATGTTTTTGGGAAGGTTGATAATTTTTTAGCTACAGTGAATTTTATTATACCAAACTCGAAATGCGAACTCGAAATATTCATCCTGTGATACTAATCTAGCACAGAATTAATTTATAACAAGTAACAAAAGAACTATAAGACAAGCATGCTCGCTGAACAAAGATTGTCAACTACACGTTAGTGATAATGTGATATTATTCTATAATTATTTCTTGAGCATCAAGTGTAATTCACACTTCTGTGTTATAAAAAGCAATGAACATTTTTGTTATTTTGTGTTTGAATGTGTCTGTTTTACTAATTTTATTACTTAAAACCAAGCACTTTTTAGTGAGTCATTACCAACTAGTTTTGTGAGATTGTCAGATGTCTTGTTTGTATTACAGTAAAATTTAAGACTGGTGTTTATGTTAAAGTTTCAATTTTTATGTGATTGTACTGTAGATAATTTGTATGTATGGTGCAATGTGATTTGTTTACACAGTTTAAACAGTATCCATAAATTTCCTTCCACAAAAATTAGGAAGTATTTATTTAACACTCCACCCTCTCATGTTCACTTCAATTCAACTTCAATTATATTTACAAATCAGGAGTAAGTAATTGATGTTTAATGAGGTGAATTTTGCAATATTAATTTGTGGATAAAATGCTGTATATTTTTGAATTATTTCATCAGTCCCCAAAAATTCCTGATTACAAATCTTGATAAATATGCCATTTTTCGAAAACGAACAAAAAATCCAACAAAGCCAGCAAATGACAATTTAAATTTTTTTCCAAGTATATACTCGTTTTACATGATAGCAAAGCCACACCTTTCATTAGATAAAATATCTACCAGAAAACACAAAAATGTATGCTTTGTTATTAAAATGCAGCAATTATATGAGATCATTCAGCCATGCAATATACTAATCATGTGTTATCTTTTAGACAAATATACCAGTACTGTAGGTTGTCAGTGAAATTTCAGAAGAATGTATTATAATAGATCAGTGGTTTTCAACATTTTTGGTTGAGAGGAACCCCAATGAAATATTCTGGAATAGCGAATAGCAGTTGTAATGTGGGTGTTTTAGATGATTTTAAAGCATCAATTTAGTGTTTTCTAAATGTTTTCCCTTCTTATAACATGTTTTAAATGTGGAATAATGACTTGGCAAAGAAGCAGAAGCTTGGTGCTATGTATTGGACATACCGCTTAAAATGGTGGTGTTGTCTACTGGAATACCGTACACTGTAGTAAAAAAAATTAAAGCTCAAAAACAAAGCAGTCCTGTTCATGGGACAGGAACCAACTTTGTTTTGCCAACAAATATCATGAAAATATCCTTGAGCTAAATAAACCAGTTGAGCAAATTGCATTCAGATACAATTTGATAATAGTTTTCTATCACTTTGGATCACTTGGCAATGTCAATTTAAAAGCCAATTCGAGTTTGGAGGGTTACTTTAGAAAATAGGAAGTGATTTGCATAAGCAATTACTTTAATATAAACAATATTGAAATAACACTCCTAACACTTTTTGAATGTATCACAATATGCGAATTACCAACTTCAATTTTCTCTTTAAATTAGAAGCACTTGTTTATCTAAAATAATTATTTATAACTCTAAATGATATCTTATATTAACTAATACTTACTTCGTTTCATCATTCTCATATTTGACTTCAATTGCAAGCAGTAATAACTTCAACTTCTTGTAACAAATTCTATATTAAAATTAAAAAAAATATTAAACTGTATACTCAGAAATCATATTTCTTCTTTGACTTAGTTATAATTCGATAGAACATTTTATACAATTTTCATTTTTCTTGTATATACTCATATGGATTCAGAATCAGTGCACTAAGTATTGCATTCAACATTACAGGTTTAGTGTTTAGGTAGCTAAGAGACTCACTCGCAAACTTTTGGAAACGAATATCCAACAAACGAGCTTGACATATATTCAGTGTACATCTCTGATCCAACTCCAGCTAAGTAATGTTTTTGCCATGAATCTTCTTCAATCTAATTTAAAATAAAATTTATACAACATTATATAAAGAAATTCAACATAAACATAATAAATCAATAGCCAATTTAGCATTTATAAGTATTCCTAAGAAAAAGACTCTAACATAAAATCACCTTAATATAAGATCTCATAGAAAATAAATTTGCCATCAAACTTGAAAATCCTGGTGCAAGGCATGATTGTGCAATGAAGCCTAGTTTGAGTTCAGCAAGACAGATAACGTCATCTCCATCCTGTGATAAAAACAAAATATATCGTACTCTTGATATAAAAGCTTTGAAATTATATGATGAAAGGTGTGGCAATGAGAATGCCATATATTATAGAAAGTATTATTGCCAGGATATAGTAAGTAATTAGGTAATCAATGCCAAACTGGGAAAATTCCTGTTCTTCGAAGAATAGATATAAGTATCTGCTTGTAAAAAATTCTTTCTACTTTTGGTAGTTGTAAGATAGATATTGACGATTGGATAAATTGGTCAAGTTTTGAAAATTCATATTAATCAAATCTGTCAAAGCATTTTACATAGAATAAAACTCGAAGAAAAATTTATAACAGCTTGCCTCCATATATCGCCCACTTATTAACATAACATATAAATTTACCCACCTCTATACTCCAGCTTGGAATATTGAGTAAGTGTGCTTTATTGTGATATTGCATTATCTGTATGATGATTCTCACTTTGGGGTGATAATTCTTAATTGAAATTACTCTAAAATGAAAAATAAATAATTTGAAATTTTGATTGACTCAAGTTTCTGTCTTATATTTGGACAAACTTCACAGAAATACTGTGTTCTAGCTGTATTGTTTGTTAATATATAGCACCTCATCTCACATAGAGTAACTTGAAGGTGAACAAAAAGAGATTATTTACTTTTTGGAAAATTGAATCTGCGTACAGATCAATTCGGAAAAGATTTATTGTTATTCTCGAGATATGAAAAATAAAATTTCTAATGGACAAATTGATTTGCAAGTTTAGTATTTAAAGATGGAATAAGTCACTATAAGGGTATTACTTTTATATATTTTTTTATACATTCTCTGCGAACGAAGAGATGCAATTTGCCAATACTTAACCCCAACTTTTCCTTTTCCTACTCATATTTTCTTATATGAACTTATAAAGTAGTTAGATCATACTCAGCATCCATTTTTGATAATTATCTTACCGCATTATATTAGATGCATCTTCTGCATCTGCATCTTGACAATATTTATTTGCGAGTATTACGCACGAGTCAGCATCTTCCATCTTTACACGAGACAAATCATTTGAATTTAGAACAGAACCTTCAAAAAATTCGACCTGAGTGAAATGTCGTTTGAATAAAGCCTCAAGTTCTAAATTAGGTGGAATCCTGTAAAGTATGAACATAAATAGAAAAGGTCAAAATGCTGACATTTTCGAAAGATAAATAAATGTCAACCGCACAGTGAAAATTCAGACACATTTGCTTATAAGTTCGGCACAAACAGCGAATAGGATAATATTAGAAGCTTACTTCATCATATACTGAAATCCAGAATTTAAAACTTTGGTATTTTTATGATTGTGATAAATGTATATCTTCTTACAGATTTCACTCATAAGGGTTAGGATATTCAGTGAGTTTAGTTCTAGCAAAATTCAATATTACTGTCTTCTTCAACCAAAGATGAATTTTAGAAATTGCGACTTGGAAATGGGTGAATTTACTGTTGCTTTACTTGAAAATCGCTTTCTTGCTGCATGATCATAATTTAAATTAAATTTAGAATGAAACATAAAAATTAGCCATTCAAAATATTGAAAATTGAAATTGAAGAATATAATAAATATAATTTGAATGAATCTGGATCATATAAATGGATCGAAACCTAACAAAATAAATAAATAAATCCAATATGCATGTTGTAATTGGCACTCTATAAGTCTAAGGTATGGTATATCAATATTATTTCTTGTGAGGATAATTTTTATAATCTATAGTTGACTTTGTTTAGATTACTTAAATGAAAAACTTATATTGAACACTTCGGACTTAAATAATGAAACGATAATAATAATTATAGCGCCATATAATACTCTATATCGTTTGCTTGTCTAAAAATCTTCCATAAAGTATATTTGATTAATCACGATTAGTAATTGATTTGCACACTTGAAGTAAGCCCATACATGATTAAAGTATTGTCAATCATTTGAGGCAAGTAATTCAATTTAAGAGTTATAATAGAAATACAGTGATAATAATAAAAAAATAAGAAAAAGGTATATTCATAGGCATCCATTTCACAATATGGATGACTGGTCACAAAAGGCACCATACAAAAAGCTACAAACCCATGTAAAAATAGGACTTCCACATTGACATCGTCTCTATCTTTGTGTAAGAAGTCTTTTAGAAAATAGGAAACACTTTCCAGAGTGATATGTCCACATACGACAATATGCCTGTAATAAAAATAACAGGTATTCATTCAACATTTTTCATAATTAATTATTCATATCAACATAGAATATAAAATCTAAAACAATTTCATTTCGATAACGTGTGTTATGGGAACATCAGTACCAAAATAAAAGACAACAGTGGCATAAAATCACATATTTTAAGCAAAGGTAATTTCAAATAGGCCATGGGCCAGGTTCAATTACACTTATATAATTGAATTTTAAATATCTTTGCATAATCTATCTGTGTATCCTTACTCAATTATTTAAAGAAAGTCAAGACTCAATCAATTGAAATATGAAATATCATTTCTTACTGATAATAACATACTACGTGACACAAAAAAAAATTTAAATTTAAAATTACGCCTTCGAAATAAAAAAATTTATTTAACACTTAAACTTCTGTTTGTTCATGATTGTATCCAAAGGTTTCAGTAATCTAGGACGCTTCACTCAGAAGTTAGGTTTTTTCTAGAGGACCTGACTTTTTTGGGTCACACTGTAATATGTAATTTTCTTTTAAAAAAGTGTTACTTATCAAGTTACTTGATAAAGAAATATAGCCCCAAAAAATTTTCAAATTCCCCTTAAAAATTAAACATCACTATAAAGATGTTCATTAATGACAGGCTTGGTCATGGCAGTTGGATCCAAAGCGGAACAATTTCCTATTTTGGTTTTGGGGGCTGCAACATTTCATTTGCCACAAAAACTAAGCATTGTATATACAAAAATGCTATAGAAAGTAGTATCTTAAGTAACTTGACTCATTATGCAATAGAACAATTTTCCCCAACCAGACGAGAATTTTTCCCCAGGAAGAAATTTTATTTTTGGCAGGGGGAGGGGGGGGGGGGATTTTACTTTGTGTTTGAGAGTAGTTTAGGTAATATTATTTCTTATTTAGTATTATTGTAATGCATATTTATGAATACATTATAACTATTCAAAATGTATTGGAAAAGGGTGGGAACCATTACAATAGGGTATTGTTTAAATGATGTGAACGTCAAATTTTTTTTGTTATTTGAATGGATAAATACCGTAAAATTTTTACATAATTGCTATGTAAATTTGTTACGTCCATCGTAGTTCATTGCAAGTACTTTATGCAAGAACCAACTTGAACTGTTTCATTGGCAAGCATGAAATTGTGAAACAAGACCTCATGGGAAACTTTAAATAAGATTAAAGATAAGTAAAAGAATGTGGCTTATTGTGAACTACAATTCAAGGCAATCCAAAGAGCATGATAATTGCATTTTCCACACTTTTTAACAAAACTGATTTTGGAAAAACAATTTCATGCAAGCACTGTTTCTCCCAATTAACAGTTCATGTCGTGTCATAATTGAATGATTTGTTCTCTCCATTTCCGATTACGAAGAATTTTGTTACAATAACAAAAACAAAAATCTTCTTAGACCAGAGTTTCATACAGGGTGATCTAAAAAATCATAACCCAGGTCATTTGGAAGTATTGTAGTGGGAACATATCTTATCCTATCTCCTATCCTAACATAACTTTTATACATAGTGTCCTAGATTAGGGAAACTTTTGAGTCAATAATATACAAATAGAGTACTTTATGTGTTAAAAATTTTCTAAATTTTTGTAAAAGAATTTGTTTGCTTCTGTTTTTTGAGGCCACCCTATTTCATGATCTCTGCTCTATGAGTTTTTTTCACTAGGTTTGCTAGTATTCAGCTTAAAAAGCCCAAGTTTGACAGGTTGCTGAAGAAGAGACTATATTAGATTCTGAAATGATATTAAGTTATTTTAATGTAACAATTGTATGCTGAATTACACCATGTAAACGATTTCGTTATACAATGTTTATGATATGTTATATGATGATGACATGTAAGGATTACAATTAATTGGCATTGCGGACCAAATTTCATACACCTTGGGTGAGTTGTGATTTAAATCCAAATTGTGTAATTTACAATGCCAACTCAGTAAAGTCTAATGCTCTAACTGCTAGGCCAGTGATTTTCAACCTTTTTTGTTTCCAGAACACTTATTATATCATAAAGTGCTTGCAGAACACCAAATGAAATTTTCAGATTTTTCGAAACTATACAATGAGATTACCCAATATTTTTCTCACTACAGGTCTACAAAATATTTTATAAAGTTATTATTAACTTATATTTTCTATACAATCAGTTAAAACATTCTTGATTGTAAGCATCTTTTAAATGCTGTAATTATATATTAGAAGTGGAGTGTGCGAAGATGCACATCATTCTCTTTTTATGTCCGGAAGGATTCACCTTAGTTATAAATAGAATTGGTAACTGCATATAGCCACACCAAATTTATTTCTGTGACGTAACTACCGTAATTGAATTAATCCGCTGCAATGCCGCATTAATTGATAATTTCGTGCCAAAAGAAAAAGTCATTCTAGAGTTGGTGATGCCTTGATACCTGAATTTATTAAAGACTCTTCGATGACAGAGATGGATGGGTAATTAATTAGCTCCCGATTTAACCTTGACCAATGTTAATGATCTGGAGGACGCTAAAGTGATGACATAAGAATTATATTAAAGAATATCAATGTTTTTTATAAGTTTTGAGAGTTACATAAGAGAGTTTACTTAAAGTAGGTTTTTCAAAATTTTATCATTTTAAAAATAGCAAAAACCTTAATTTTCACTGAAATTTGGAAAGTTATCAATGAACGCACATCTGTGATCCAAAAGAGTTCTACAAATATATAAAAAAAATAAAAACATTAATTTTGGAAAGTATGACACATCTTTTCATAGCATTTCTAGTAGATGAATATGAACATGGGATACTATTGAAAATTTCAATAGGTTCCATGAATAGGCTGAAGGGAGTGTCATATCATCATATCCAACACTAGCAGTAATAGTCATCAAATGGTGCATATCGGGCGATGTACACTATACTTTACTGTCAGTAACAACTTATATTAAACACAGACAAAGTATAATTTGTAAAACAAGAGCAGTAATTGAATTTTCAAATAATTTTTCTCAAAACAAGATTGTGACAGGCAGTGTGGTTGGCATAAGTATGGCAATAATGAAATATTGATAAAGATTATTATTCTGTATTCTGAAAAACATAAAAAAAATAATTATAAAGCATGTTTATTTAAATCCTATTTTCAAAATATGTCTCATTAAATATTCATAACTCTTATTTAAAATAAAATGATATTTTGTGGCAAAACATAAAATTTATAACTCAAGTACAGTATCCTTTAAGATCTTCATTTTGTTTGAGTTCATTTTTCATGCATTCAGGAGGAAATAGATATTTATAAGAGGAAAGAATTCATACATCTCACTGTAATAAATTACAGTTACAAAAGACTTTCTTGTAGGGATGGGCCGGGATTCGGATCCGACTCGGATTCGAGTCGAATCCACGCATTTTTTGGACTCGGATTCGATTCCGAGTCCACGTCATTTTTTCCAAGTCTTTAATCAATTCTGTTTTTACTAATTTACGCCTATATTTGTACTTTTGCCTCTATAAATCTCACAACATACCTTAACGAGTTAAAATTCAAGGTTAAATCTGTAACAATATCCCTCGTGTGTACTATAAACACTCTTAATAAAAGTGACAACAGATATCCAGATAATATGACGCATGTTAAAAATTATTGATCGCTTATAACAATGATGTTGCGCCAGTCGCCTTCAAACTATCTATCCTTTTTGGTATACATGTGGTACACAATAAAATATGTGTCAGCGCAATATTTTTGAGTTTTTGATTCGCGTAAAAATGAAACATCAACACCGATGTGACACGATCACCTCAATGGGGAATCTCATCAATACCTCTTTTAAATCGAGTTTATTACGTGCAATCCTTTCTCTAAAAAGGGAGCAATGGAAAGCATGGAGAGTTTTTGAACGTTTACATGAACTACTAAATTGCAAGCAGATGTACCACATCTGACGAGTGGCATTTCTCCACCGCACGGGACATAGTAAATTTAGGGCTAGAAATATCTGGAATTATGGGGAAGCATTGCAGTCAAAAGCTTTTTGTTTTTCATATTGACATGTATAAATTTCTGGATAGCTGCCCAGAATTGACGCAAGGTGGTGGGCTGGAAATCCAGTTCACAGCCAAGGCGCACATTCACCCACGTTTACGTTTGTATTATGGCCGCCATAAAAGGGGGAAAATATATTTTTAAAATGATTCAACAGTCATCTGCGGAACCATTAGGCAAAAACATGAGCTACGACGTAAGTGTGTATTGTGAGCGCACGATGCTGTAGCATCACCAAAAACGTGTTTTTCTGCGTTTACATTGTGACGTCGCGGACTCGGTGGATTCGATTCGAGTCCTTGACCTATTACTCGGATTCGTCGAATCTCTGTAATGCCGGACTCGTCCCATCCCTACTTTCTTGCCATTCTATGATCAAATTTTTGCAGCATTCATTTACATTTTGTCGAAACAAAATATGGATTGTAAATTAATTTATAAGACTCCACAGAACAAATTTTCGAACTTATTGTCAACATCTATCAAGTGTCTATATATCTTTATCTTTCTGTTTTAGTTTAGTGTATTTGAATAATCACACATTATAACACATGTGGGACGCAATCTTTTAAAATTTAGTATTATATTTAATTTTCCCTCAAAATGAGTTTGATAAAACTTATCCATATTATATTCCACAATCAAAAGCTTTAAACGTTTTATATTTTTTGATCCTAGCACCCAATGTTATACAGATTTCTGGAAGATTATAGTTGATTGATTTGTATTGCGTCCGTAGCCTTGTGTAAAAATGAAATCACGAAATTCCCTCTAAGCCAAATATTTAAACGTTTCCTCTTAGTAAATAAACGACGTATGTTTTTCCACATTAAAGTAATTTAAGTCGACCATTCTCATTACCTGAATAAACAAGCTGTTACAATGCATTCCATGGTGTTACAATCATGTCCGAGAAAAATTTTAACCGCTTAATTAATATCAACGTGCGGAGTAGTCATTTGTATGTCAGCGGTTTCAAATATCCATCGGTCTATAAGTAGCAAGGTAGCCTGCTTTTATCGCCCCATAGGGACCTAGGTGGCAGACAAGCCACCGCAATTAAACTGCTGAACGTACAGGGTATGATATGATTCATCGATAACATTGTGTTTTCTTGATGGCAATATAAACATTATATACATTGACTGATGCAAACCATAATCCAGGGATGGTGAACCTTTTTCAATGAATGGGTCAAAAATTATATTTTATCGCGGAACAGAAGAGAGTGGGTCACAGATATATGATCAATGTTTGTATCTATAAGAAACTTCTGAAACAAATCTTTTAGGCTTCTGTTGGTGTAGTTTCAGTAGAGTGCAAAAACACGCATATGAATTACCATAAACGTTTAGGATAATGCGGTAAATTTTTTTACGGTTCCAAAGAGTTTGGAGGGAATCCCACCTGACAGTGTTCTATTTTTCGATCAACTTTCAACCTCATTAAGGCACTTTTACACTGCCCCATTGTTATTTCAGATTTCTAGGCTTTTATTTCAAGTCTGAAAGATTTTGTTCTCTTAACGGTATTGTGGGCGAGAAACTAATAAAATACAAAGTAGCATCTAGTTCTCGCATAACCCCTAAAACAGTATGCAGATAAACTTCCGAAAGAGACCAGACGTAGCGACAAATTAACATATCAGTTGCATTGTTATGTCATAAACGATGTCAGAGCCAATAGCTGAATATTGGTTCACAGCGGTGCAGACATGCGTCCAAGATTAGGAGTTGTGAAAATTACCATACCGGCCCGAAATTACCAATTTGAATATGAGCCCTCGCGGCCCTGACTGCCCAACTGACGGTAGATTCTAATAGTTTAGGTATTGTTAAATTAATATAAGGCCGGTTTTATCAATTTTTATCACTGATATGTTAGCATTTTTTTATTATTTTATTCGTGCCTTGGCAGGTCATGAATAAAACGCGGTGCGTCACTTTGTGACCCGCGGGTCAGTGGTTCGCCATCCCCGCCATAATCAATTCACCTAAACTGTTTTCAAGTTGATGTCAAGTTGATTAAAAAATTTTGTCTAACATTTAGCATACAAGTGAATCTTCTATATTTATGTTGTGAAATGTTCACTTGTGTTAGATAGTTGAAACAATATATCTTCTATATGAATTGTATTAAAATATCCATTGCAAATTTGAATTTTTACACTAAAATTTGTTATAATTGCTCTTTAAAATATGGTCATTACGTAAGGCGGTATGCTGAAAATCATCAAAATTGGTAAATAACAACATGGAAACAAATTGGGTTTGAAGACCTTGGAGAAAATTTGATGGATCTTTGAGTGATCAACAAGTGCAATAAAAGTAGCTGTAATGGCAGAAAGTAAACAGAGAAGAAACTTCATCAGGCTCGAAACTTTCACTGACAATCTTGGGAAGATGGGAAGGTTGAGTTATGACAGATAGCATGAATCAGCATTTTTAATGTCTGTGTTATACTTTTTACACTATCAATAGTTATCAACATTTGGTATTCCTGAAGTATGTGAACCAAGATGGCGGACACTGGAACGTAGTACGTGTACCAGGTTAGGGTTGGGCCATAATTCAGGTACAAATGCTATGGGAGTCACTTAGCTAGTCTTCGAACTCTAAAAAGAACTGAAATAAAGAAAATTGTAATAAAATTATGACCTAACCCTAACCTGGTACACATACTACGTTCCGGTACCCCCCCATCTTGGTTCACTTTCTTCGATGTACCCATTATTTTGGAGAAATAAAAATTTCTCCTTTTTTTTTATAATAATGATTAGTTTGAGTTATCACCAAAACGGTAATAAGATTTGAAAATGATTACATTTTATTAACAGTCTGTCAACACTATGTTGCTATGTTGTAATTAAAAGAATTATCACAGATGATTGATGCCTAATCTGATTTTTGGACCTGAAATCGTTTTGCTGCATTGTTTTTTACTAGAACAGAAAATTGTTTTTGTCCCAAAAGAAAGAAAACAAGATGGCTTCATCATATGAACAATGACAGCTACTTGTCCAATTAGTCTTCCATGTTGGGTATGCGATAAGATAGCTAGTTGTATTAATTTCAATATAGAAGATGATGGATGGGCTCTGTGATTGACCAACAACTATTCAAACCCTGGTCATATACAAATGATCATCTCTAACAAAAAATCCCTTACGATATAACTAGCAAGTGATCAAGATAATATCACAATTCACAATGCGTCAATCTTTGAACATGACTTCATCAGCAATAAATGATGAGGGAAAATTGACAAGAAGACAACTTACCGTAATCCTATGACAACCCTTGGCTTTTGAACTAGCCAGGCCGGAAATAAGATTAGCCATTTAGTTCTTTTGGTTCCGATGTATTGACACAACATATTTTAGTATACAACATTTGGTAATGCGACCCATTGAGCGCAATTCCTACATCCATATGACTATATATATGAGAATGAGACACTTACTTTCTTCCGCTTACTGAGGTATAAGCTCCTCCATATTTTTTTCTGTTTCCAATGAGATCCATTATCTCTGGTACAGAACCGGCAAACATAGCGAGTCCCACAAATATGAATAGCACCATTGAAAATCGACCAATCGTCGTCTCAGCATACAGGTCTCCATACCCGACTGTAGACATGGTGACCTAGATCATAAAATAAGTATATTTACTTACGACTGATTCAAGCTCAACTTTTTCGCAAGCAGTTAAACCATTTCATCAAAGTATAAAAAAATTTCTATGGGAAATGTGAATTTAAAAGCAAATAGCGATGATTACAAGAAAGAGGATTGCTGAGTTCCTCAAGATAATTCATATAACAACTGGTCATGGACGTATCCAATCATCGAAACTGTAAGCTCGAAAATGCTCATTATTATCTTTTTCAAAAGACTGCTGAATAAAAGACCTTGCAATTCTATTTACTCACCATGCAGAGATATACACACTCCCAATAAGTTAGCTTTTGAGCATTTGAAAAGTCGAGCCATGGATCACCTGTGTTTTCAACCTGCATATTTAAGAAAAAATCAAGTAATAAAATAATTCATAATGGACAGATTTCATCATCTCTAACCAAAAATTTGCTTCAACAAACCACTTTACATTTGCATCATGATAGCATATGCAAAGTTGATGTGATATATAGTCATTGAATACTAATATATCACAATTTATTTTATCGAGTTCATCCACAACTTTCAGATATTTTACTTTATTTGCAATTTCTAGTTTCTGAACTTACAAACAACATTATCAAATTTGAAACTTATGTTGCAGTTATCAATAAATAAATTTGAAACATGTATAAATTATATTTGTAATGAAACACTTACTGGCTTACTAGACTGGAAAAAATAATGGAAAAAAGAGAAAAAGTACAACCATATTTCATTATCAAAATTGTTGAATTTAGCAGGAAATGTTAGCACACAATCCATAATAAATCTTACCAAGTGAATAAATCCGGCTCCTGTTAACCACGTACTCAAGAAAATTGACAGTACATTCACAAGTTTTATGCTATTGCTTGTCTTCAGTATATTAACAAATTGCAGAATCTCAGAAAACTGCAGTAAGCGAAGGGCGCGAAGAAATCGAAGCCCTAAAAGAAAGAAAAGTTTATACAATTTTTCTTCTTCTGAGTGAATAGTGTTAATGATATGACATTTTACTTTCCATAATGTATGAAATGGGACATAATACATCAATTGCTTCTGTGCTTTGCTTTGACACAACGTCAAAAATACCTGAACCAAAATAGTCTGACTAAACATTCAAGTATGAATAATCAGTAATCAGTAGTTTATTTTTTTCACCATACTGAAAATACACTTTGTATAAACAATATAACGATGAAGGGTGATAATTGCATTTCAGGATGAAGGGAGGTGCGCAAAACAATACTGGTTAAAGAGCAGTGGCACCCATGATTAAGTCTAACAGTAATTTATATAGAAGAGAAAAAAAGTTATATCATTATATTAAAATTTTTCACTGTAAAAAAACAACTCCAAAAAAATAACAAGATAAGTGTATTTGATTCAAAAAACCTACTGTAAAATTACATTATTATTAACATGAAGGCCTTAAAATTTGAAGGAAAAAAAGTTGGTTACATTTAGTAAATAATATGTCAAATTGTATTCTCTCATCACATGACTATTTTATCAAAATAGGGCAGATTGACTGTATAATTGTTAGGATAAAATTTATTTGTAGACTCAAGCAAAACAAAAAGTTAAGGAGACTTAACAATAATATGACCCATCCATGGCCTTTTGTCCAGTTACCAGTTTAGGTTGGGCATGGGAATAGTTAGTTAGACCAGGGGTTTTCAAACAGGGGTAAACAAAAGTTGGGAACCTCTACGTTAGACACATTTCAAGAGATAGACAAGATTTGCAGAAGAAGTTGAAAATGGTCACAAAAATCACCAGTGATGATGAATAATCCAAGAATTTTCTCTGTATAATTATCACTATAAGCTTCAAGCCAGCATCTCAAAGGCAAGATAATCAGTAATCATCTTTCTAAGAATTGGCATAATATGCTAACCTCTATAATGAATTAATATCACTGGGTGTTTTTTTCTTTGTGCAAAATTTTATTTTTGTCTAATGAATTAGCAAACATACTCACCTAACCATGTTCTATTAAGATAAACAGAAACAAAAACAGGTGGAACAGTGAAAAAATCGACAATGGAATTGACCTCTAGCCAGAATAACAACTTGTCGTTGGCAGCAATGAACTAAATAGGAAAAACAAACAATATTATATGTTGTGGGAATAATATTTTTGAGGCTTCTGATCATCTGCTATAGTCATGTAATGAATTGTGTTCGATCAGTTCCTTTGTTGTTAATTTGACTTTATATTGTCTCAATGTCTAGTAAACAATTTAGTTTAATTACTTATGTCATATTCATACAAATGGACACTTTCTTCATCTGAATGATCGCAAATTTCTCGATGACTTTAATTTTGCAGGTACTAGTGGTCACTGGTCTTGCCACACCCATGGATTGTTTTAGTATGCCATAATGGTTCACTCATAAATCATTCCACGTTCCAAACAAAAAATGCCTCATTACTCATACTTATTTTTTTCATATTTATTTTATTTCTTTTTTTTATCCCAACAGGCAATTGATTAGTCATGATATAATATATAAAATGAATGATTTATGATCTGCTGCTCCCTTTGCAAAAAGGTAATTTCCACAACATTCGGTTCAAATGAGGTCAAATGTAAATGAATGGAACTGCTGAAAATCTGAGCAAGTACAAAAAAAAAGAATTTGCACTACATAAATATTAATAATTAGTATTAAAAAAATAATTTTTGGATCATAAATTTCATGGATGATTTAAAAAAACATATCAGTATATATAATTCTCTATGTACTATCGGTAGGCAGAAAATCGAAAATAATATTTCTAACAGAATTTTCACTTTCATCAAAGCCCTCAAGCAAATTACATCAAACAGATATAAAATACTATATACACATGTTTTAATGGTTTCAAAGGTCATGGGAGAATTCATGCAATATACATTAATACATCAAATTTTTTACTTATTATATGGATAGACAGAATTGTGGGTTTACAAACAATTTTCAGATTTCAATTTAGATTTTTTGAGGCATTATTATGGTTTGTGGTATCGAGGATTCCAACAATAGACTGGATAGAGTTCAAACCCGCATGGCTAAGTGTATCTGACCTGTTACAATAATCAGCAGGTGGCGATCAAACCACAGCCTCCTGGTTCTGTAATTTTGCAATCATGATTTATTTTATATGATTATTAACTTAAGTTGACTGGTGAAAACATTTCTTTCAGTCATTCTAGTATTCCAATTTTTTTTAAATGATATTATTTGTCGATATAGTGCTAACTAATTTCCACTTACCCGAAGGCCAAAGTAAAGAAGAAAAAATAGGTTGAATGCCATATCAATCTGCAGTGTTGTGTCAGTGTAAAAATTTTTGCAGGTTTCTATAGGACTGAAAAAAGTTGAAATTTTTAGGAACAAAAAGACACAAAATAAACTTAATCTTATGATAAGAAGAAACTGATTTATATTAGAGGTTGATATGGTTTGAGTTGGATGTCAAAAATTGATCTGAGTTGTATGAAACTTTTCAAGCATTCCAACTTACTCTGATGAATCAATGAAATATATAACAAGAGCACCAATGCTGAGCATAAAAACGAGGACGACCTGAAAAATTAGAAAAAAAAACATTGAGTAAAAGGAAAAAAGAAAAAAGAAATTTGATATAGATAATTAGGTTGCATATTAGAAGAAATATTACAGCAATAGCTCAAAACAGGCCAACACAAATGTTTTCAATACATTATTAAATCAAAATTTGCTTTCTATATGAATTTTGGTTTAATTTCCAATGGAATCTCACTTATATGTATCCATTTCATGATTTTTTATAAAAACTATTATGACTCGCCCTCAACTTGAGACCCGGTAGAACAGCGGCTTGACTTGAGACTCAAATTTAAAAATTTGATGGAAATGGGACTTAACCGGAGAATCATTTATCATGTTCGTTCATGATTAATCTTTCAAACACAAATTAGGTAGTTATAATAACCTACAGTTGTAAACGATTTCATATCCATAGAATCTAACAAAAATTGTTATTCAAATTATAACCAAGGCATAAACTAATCAGATAATGAATTTTGATAAAACATTTTACCAGTATCCTTCCAATTAAAGTCTGTGCAGATATCATAACACCAGCCCAATCTTTTACAACAGTCATCCATTCCACTTCTAATGGTCCAGCAGATTTTGTTGAGTCTGCATCAGAATTATCTTTATCGCTTGATGTGCCTTTGCTTGAATTTCCATCTTTGGGGATTTGACTAAACAGATTAATGAGGAAATCAATAGGAAATTTGGACATTATTCTAACATATTTCGATGCACAATGAAAAAGAAAATATATACCTGTAAGCAGCACAGCACATGTAATTGAAAACTCTCCATATTAATATGATGAGAAGTCCACCAAAAAATGTGATTAATGATGAACTGAGGAAAACATACCACATGCGAGTTTGTTCACATGGTGTGTGTGTGGCATTTGTTGTCAAATACTCAGTTGTTACCTAGAAAAAGATTTTTAAACAAATTCTAAATAAGCATTCTTCGTGCATAATTTTGTAATGATTTGAAAAAGATTTTATGGCATGATTTATGTAAACATACGAGTATACTATATATCAATAAGTATAATATTTGAATTGAGGACAAACTACAAAACCTACTATTTTCATAAAATCAATGAAGAAAAATCAAGTTGTAGTTAAATTCACTATACAAGGTGGTAAGCTGGAACCTTAAAGCCTTAACTGAGATGTAAATTAACACAAATAATCAATATTGCACTTTGCATATTAAGCTTTTACATATGTATGTGCCATATGCCATTCTTGTGATTAAACTTTCTCTGAGAACTGATCAATTCATATTGTTTGAAACACATTATGACTCAGTATGGCAGGAATTTTGTTTGTAAACACAAGATGAACTTTATTCCCATGTGTATCATGTCTATTTTCCAAAAGAAGGCACTAATTCAAATTTTGTAGATTCTCTTTAGTTGTTATCGATTCACAGTGAATTCTTTTTGTGATTGCTCTCGCATTAAGTGGTTTAAATTTTTAGATATTGTTTATACTTTAATTGACAGCAAATCTGAATATTTAGTATATGATCTAATATTATTCAATATTGAATAAACATTTGCTCTGTAGTGCACCACACCAGGACCCAAGTCACAGTTTATGACAGAAGACTTCCGAAATAAGTGCGATATTACAGTAAACTTCAAAGTGTTTTTTTCATTACATGTAAAAGCTCCACAGATCACATAGTGGCAATAATCAATCATCATTAAACCAAAAATAATTTGTTCTCATAAATAATAAATTATTTTTAGTAAAGCGGCTTCATCTATCTTTGTTGCAGCATTCAATTTAGTTAAAAGTAGATTCATTATTTAGTGTTCATAATAGAGCAAAAATGGGCCAGAAAATGTATGCAAGATGATTCCAACAACGATAAAATAAGTTTTTGCTATCAGATTAGAATGTTCAGGCACTATTTGAAACAAAGCAATTTGTTTTCTAATATTGAGAAGCTTGAATCTGGCAATTTTACATGCGCCTACATCTAAGTTATATGACATCCCATCAATTTCCCAAGTAATTTTTCTTTGAACTAGACTACACGATATCAAATTATTGATTGGAATCAAAAAAAAAGAAAATAATGTTGTGAAATTGATTATCACATTCTCATACTACATTTACTATCTTATTCAATTACTTGTATGATTGAAAGGTAAAGCTGGACAAAACCCCTGACAAACAAATAGTCAGTCTAATTGATATTACAACATTGAGATTATGTATACTGCATACCCTGAATGTGGAAATCTGAACAGAAAGTAGTGGATCACAATGCTTATAATGCGAGTATGCTATCGCAAGAACAAACATGAATATTCTGTTTGATTCAAGAGTCGAGCTGTACCCTAACACATTAGTCTTGAATTAAATAGAAAACTTTGAAATTTTTATAAAAATGACAAAAAATAAAATTAAACTGAAATATAGTACTCACGGATACATCCACAACAGCTGTGTCTGATTGTGTACAATTACATGTGGGAGCTGCTGCAGGAGTAGAATCTGTCATTCTTTTTCAATATAGTTCTGAGTTTCCTTTTGTCGGATCTTAGTTTTACGTTCTTCTAATTCCGCGATGAATGCATCTACTTGCTTCCTCACATTAAATCTCTCTGGGCAAATATTCCAAAAAAACGTTGACCATCTGCTAGTGGTCACAATGAACACATGTAGTCCACATATATTTTTATCATTTCTTGACGTAAAAGGTCTCTTTATTGAATGGAATATGTCAAACAAATATCCTGTGTTCAATTTGTAGTTCTATTCATCAATTTAAACACAAAACTTCTAAAGGTAAAATCAAACAAATAAAATTCTTCATCCAGATATGATTGCAACTTTTGGTTAGTGTATAGTGAATACAATAGGGTTTTCTATCTAACAAACGTTGAATTCCATAAACAATAAGACAGATAGTCTGAGGGAATTTCTAAACTTTCTTGAAAGTGCCGAGTTTATATGGTGCTCCATTGAATCACTATGCCTCTCAATATAACACATTGGATGAAGGGGGGAGTGTTTTGAAATGACCTAAATACCTCTATTGTATACAGTTCCAGTCACTAATGCCTTGAACTAATTTCAATTGGCAAAATTTCCTATGCAATGTTATAATACTATTCAAAGAATCTGACTTTGAAATAAACAGCAAAACGCATCAAATTCAATCGCACTTTCACTGTAATTAAATTATGTCATCTCAAGTTACCACAGCTAACTAACGAACGTCTAACTTCAAATGAAAGATGACAGCATATATTTCTTTCAAAAACCCATGTGTCTTCATAACCGATGCCGTGCTACATACCGTACCTTACTTTAAAACAAAACGTCCAATCAATTGGTGTCGACATAATAATGAGAAACGGTGCATGTGTTCTACTCCATATTGACCCGTTTACTTGAAGTGGCAATCTGCACTTGGTTTAATTATAATCGTAATATTCCACGACCCATACAGCCATCTCGAAATGCAATAAATTATTTAGGCAGCAATCAATGCGCTGATCTCACATTGCAAATGAAAGCGCGTCTCTAACGATAACGCCGTATGAAATCCTAACAAAAATCCTGGCATAATCGATTTGAGCTCGTTACCCGGGAGAAACCCTTCAACCATGCAAAGCAACACACTGTTCTCTTATCACCCCGCGAAACACAAATCCCGTCACGCTTTCGGCTGATAAAATGGCGACGCCATGTTCGTAGCGGTCACGCTGATAACAAGGTTAACTGACTCGACTAAAAATAATCGAAAATGGCTGATTTATCTAAAGATATAACGCCGGGTGTCTCTTAGGTAATAAAACATCAGGGGTTCTCATCATCCTCCGAAAATAAACACCAGAACCAAATTTTATACATTATCATCCAATCATGTACGGCCGCTTAAATCGCCTCTCTGGTACAGAGATTTAGCGTCATTAAATACGAATGTGCAAAAAATTAAATAGGTCGATCAAGATTTCTCTATGAAGTACAATCAGTCGATAAGAGCCTAGAACACTTCCCTTTTCAACGTAAGTAATTTAAAATCGATAGCACTTAATTTAGTGATATATACTATGGAAATTGCCCTGATAAAGCCAAATGAATTCATCTTGATGTAAATGCGTCAAATAGAAAAATTCTTTTTAGAAGCGTATGTCGCACGATGGGTTCATATAGTGGGTCTACGTATTATTTCAAGTTAACATATCATATGCGATTTTGGTGGAATTAACTGACTTTTCTGATTAGTGCAGGTACTGTCAAGTTTTAGTGTCTACTAACCTGAGTCGACAACTAATCCAAGTAACAAACTTCCTCCTTGTTCGAAATTTAAATCTAAACTAATGAGCTAAGAAACTTTTTTTAGTGCGGAGAGATGCTCAATTTGAATATTTTGCTTCATAGTTGAGACTAATACAGAAAAGTGACTAACATTTCACCGTGATTGTGACTATTTCTTATACACTTACGTATGTAATTCTGCGAGAAAAGAACTTTCAGGTACGATTTTTAAAGGCACATAACATGTAAAAACAGCCGCTAACAAAATAAAGCAAAATAATGAGACGTTTTTACATATAATAATATATCACAGTAAAATTTACTGACTATTTAAAACTGCATAGAAAATATACTTTTAATTTTCGGTGGTCGACATTGAATTTGAGTTTTTTGTTTGCGACCGTTTTTCTTGCGTCAGTCATACAAATTGCAGAAAATGAATCATGGTGTTTACAAATATGCAAATTCGATATTAATTCGGTAACATTTTGTATTTATATTGCGCGAGGTTTATGCCTTTTTCAAAAACAAAAAAAAATTTCTTTCTCATTTTTAGTACTGATAGCTGCCTTTTTTGTTACAAACAAAAAATTCGCCAAATAAACCTGAACACAGGATATATATATAAATGTAAAAAAAAAAAAATTTCATGTTGATATTCCACTTCACTGTCGTAATTAATAAAAAGATTGTGCCCCATTTCATACAAGAAGACATAGTACTAAGCGTATTGTAGCAAATAGCGACATTCTGTTTTAAACGAGTTATTGTGATATACTCGTAAAACTGATAACGATCAATAAATATGAATTTACTTAAAAGCATATAAGTGCAAACACTAATATTCCCTAATATCCTATTCCTTACAAAGATGTTTCCATGCGATCTAATCTATGTATGATGATTCCAACAACTGGGTGTAGTTTAATTATACGGTGATCCCGAAGTATGCGAACCAAGATGGCGGACATCGGAACGTAACATGGGTAACAGGTTAGGGTTAGGCGATAATTTTTTTCCAATTTTCCTTATTTTTGTCCTATTATCGGTTCGAAGACTAGCCAAGAGCCTCCCGTAGTATTTATACCTAAAATTATGGCCTAACCCCAACCTAGTACACATATTACATTCCGACGTCCGCCATCTTGGTTCGCATACTTCGGGAGCCCCTCAAGTATCAACAAAAAAAGTTGGAATTACCGATATAATACATTGCAAATATCAATGCGTCCTATCAAAACATACATAATGAATTCCGACAAAGAAATTTCTAATATTCAAGCATATATCAGCGTATCTGATTATACAGTTTTATGTACCTTTTCCAAGCGAAACTCAATCGAAACTACAATTCAAACAGAATGCGAGCGTCAAAATATAGAATATGGCTTGATAACAAAGCACACAAATATTATCAAAGTGGTTAAAGTGTAACTAATAATTTTCGAACGATATATATATATAGGGCCCAATATTTAGAGGTCTTCAAGCCTATATTGAGACCTATTTATCGCTTGAAATAGTCGTAAATATTTCTATAATGTAAAAAAAGCGAAAAAAATGAGAATTTTTTATATATATCCATGGCCCATACACGAGCAATCAAATTAAATAAATGAAAGGAGACCCACTTAATTCCAAACGATTAAATTTACAATTTCACGGATACAATCTGTCGTCTGTAGAAAAGCGACCGTTAATCCCGAGTTCGAATGTATTTCTTTCATTTGATCACGTATACACCAGAAGGTGTAAGTAATAATTTGAACACCAGGAAAAACGGATTAACAAAAATGCTAGTTAAACGTTTATTACGACTGTTATGAGTATGAATACTGAAAGGAATAAACGAATTAGGAACACGACCATACATGCTTATAATTTTGATGGATACAATATTTCAGCCTTCCCTATAAACTACTGTATATGCAAATAGTGCTGTCAAGTAGGTTTGGATAACTCAATGCTCTGTATCGACCGACATCAGGAAATTTTGACATCGATAATTAACAATGAATGAAGCGACGCCTGCAAGTACATTTTTAAAGCAGATGGCAACAAATGTACAGATTAGCAATGTCATTGGACTAAATCATAAAACAAGCGCGCTGAAACTGTCATTGCTGTTTTTTATTAACACCTTCTGACACAGAAATTGATACACCAGAACGCATTCCAAACGAATTTTTCCTTCATTGATTTTCAGTTCTACAAGAAAACGTTGTGGATTTTCGTTGGTGCTCCTCAATCAAAGGGGGAAAACACAACAAGTGCTCTGATAATGCTCTTCGATAATTAATAGATATCTTCGCGAAATAAAATGAATTTACCTTCCAGGTATTCTTGTGGTGTACACATGGAGGTTGTTAACCTATCATAACCCCGGCTATATAATTAAACTTTTGACTCTTCACCTTGACGTTACCCATGAGACTTCTACATTCCAGTCCGCGAAGAATCCACGCTACTCATCTTTATTTAGCTTAGGAAGAATTTGTTACTAATTTTTATCAGCGAAATCTCTACCCTGAAACAGTAGAGGTACTCTCTATATGGGGCCCTAGCGTGAATTCGTTACAATATCCATGCCTTCTATGTCTTACTTTGTCTCAGTATTCCAATGCCTATAAGGAACACGTTCGGCTCATAAATAATACTATTGTTGGATTTTCATTCTCTGAAATACAAACATTATGCTTTTTACCATGGTTTATTGGTTATATTTCGCACAAAAAAATTATGTCTCGGCTATACGAAGCTCGTTCAGACTCAAACTTGCACAGAAGATGACTCTATACGAGAAAAATATTCACCAACTCAAAGCTTTAAACTCGGAACGGCAAAATCCAGTTGGGGCTCACGATGTGCTAGGCTGCGACTAAGGACGACTGAAAGCCTTTTATAACTACCGGGAACTCTACTTGACAACGTTGAGGAAATGTGCGCGATTTTAATTTGTTCGAACTGATAGCGTCCCGCTTTAAGCTCATGACATGAACTCTTGTGGAAATCCTGTACTGCATCACTAACAAAAACAAATTCCTCTTTCGTTAACATCATGAAAACCCACCAAATAGCATGTAAAACAAAGATAACGACGTTAGGTACACACTATCATAATGAATCCAATGTAGAGTAAACATTAACTATTACAAACATATCTTATAGTTAATGAATTACTAGTTTAAGTAGGTTGATAAAACCCAGTAAAATGAATCGCCCGCCAAAGAGGCTGTTAATAAACGGCAAAGAATCAACCAACGCGAACTTTCACTGCGGAATGAAATATATCGTTCCTGATTAGCGGTGAAGAATTCAAATTGCTCAGGTGTGCCCCGAAGTAAACATAACAAACCAATTGATAAATTGACTTTGTTCAGACGCTTGCACGTATGTATTGAAACATTATAATGTATTTAAATGAGCATTCACAAATTTTTCAGCCGTTAATTTGCCAGTATGATATTATGTGTTTATATTCCAACCCGAATAAAACTCTCCATCGTATTCATTCAGAAGTCGCAATGTTCGGACA